CCGCCCCCCCCGGCGTGTCGCTGGCCCGCGCCATTGATGGTGTCATCCAAGATGCGGCGGCCAGCGGGTCGAGGTACCATGCCCGGTCCGGCGAAGGACCTGTTGGCTTGGTGCTCTTGCTGTTACTTTCTGCCGAGGAGGTGGGGGCAGGGACCGTGAGGGAGTGGCTTGATGTTGTTGGGGTTCGGGCTGGGGGAGCGCGGGGTGGTGCGGCCGGAGCGGGACCAGTAGGAGGGGGAGAAGTAGGAGGTGGGAGCTGTTGTTGTTGTGGTGGTTTCTGGTGTGGTTGTGGAAGTGGCTGAGGGGTCGGTGGGGGTTGTGGCGGTTGTGGAGGTTTCGGTGCTGAGAGTGGTGGTGCTGGTGGACATATTGTCAAGGATGCGTTGCATGCGGGATAGAGATACTGCTTCCAGGCGAGAGAGGTAGTCGGCGTGGGCGTCGATAGCAGGGAGGACGCGGGCCTGGGTTGGGGGCGAAAGGGCGGCGAAGAGATGCTGTAGGGGGACGCTCAAGGCACCCGCGGCTCCGGGGCGGTGGCTTTCGCTGTAAACCTTGGGGACTCCAGACACTTCCGGATTGTTGGGTTGCCGAAACACTTTGATCGTGTCCTTGGCCCAGGCACAAAAGTCGTCCCTGATTTCGGGGCATTGGCTGGCCACTTGGTGCAGCCAGTTGTAGAGAAGCTGGCGGTTGTTTCTGAGGAGGGCGACGTAGTCTTCCACCGAGGGGGTGTGAGTCTCTGACGCATCGCTCTTGGTCGGCGTCAACGAGCCCAGGAGGCCCGAGGAGCCCTTTTTACCTCTGGTGACGTTGATGAATGCAGTTATGAATCCCTCTCCGGCCGATAGGTGCTCGCGGAGATCGACTTTCTGGTGGATGGCCCGGATCATGGACTCGAAGCTTGACACGGCATCCTTGACGGCCTGGGTAAACAGATCGGGGTTCTGGCGGCAGAACGCGTTAGAGATCTCATCGCGGTCTCGGGCTGCAAGTAATGCGGAGAGGTACTCCAAGCACTGTGTGTGTTGGGCTTCGGTGAGTGAGGTTAGTAGGCTTGGGTTAGAGCGCTCCAAAATAGTGGCAGCGATTGATTGAGCCTTTTGAGTGCTGACTTTCCGGATTTCGTTGTGTTCGTCCCTGGTCATGTTGAGATACTCCTTGATCGCAGCCAGCTGCTCTTTCGAAGCCCCTTTTGCTTTCTCGATGGCATCGGCGGATTTGCGAAACTCAGAAGCATCCCAGGACAACACTAACCAAACGATCCTGCGGAAGTTAATCTGGGGTTTGAACAATCAAACCGACGGACCCATACCTTTGGAGCAAATTCATGCCGTCGTCGGCATTTTGCGTCAGGCCGACCCAGTTCGAGAGGGCGCCTACGCCCATTTTGGCTAAGAGCAGACGTACCATCCCGTTCAGCATACTAGCTGCGTTGCCGATGCGGAGTGTCTGCTTAACCATGGAGTACGGTAGCAGCTTGTGGACGTTCTCCAGCAGCTTCAACAGATAAGGCCCTTCGGGTGACAAGATAAAGACATAGTGTATCAGAGTTGCCAGGCTAAACTCAAGTCAACCTCCAGCCACCTAGTGCACCGTTAGAACTCACTGGAGTATGATGTAGTCTGCAGCAGCCTGGACCGCTGGGGAGTGCTCCTCAAGACTGTTCTTCTCGGCCGCGCAATTGAATAGTTCATCGATCAAATCCCCATAAACGAGTTCATGTACGCCGTCCTCCCATGCTCGGGCCAGGTCTTGGGCTTCGGACCTGTCATACTCTCCATGGAGGTTTCGGTTTGCGCCATTTTCAACCCCCCCGAGGATTCCCCTCGAAACGGCTTCGTGGATCGCCGAGGACGCAGTAGCCAGCGTCTTCCGAGTGCCCAACACACCTTTGTCGTATGATTCCGAAAGTTCCGCCTCCGCAAGCTTCTCAAGGATGCCCTGGAATCTTACGTGCCAAAACTCGGCAGGCAGATCTCGAACGCCGGGGAACGGTAACACAACGCTCCGTAGGAAGTCGGCGAGTAATGGCGCTGCCGAGTTTACGGCGTATGACGGCGCGCTACCGGCTTCGGAGGAGCGGCGAGCAAACGGATACCCATACTCGGATATGGCACGGGGGTCCTTGAAGCTTTCCACCTCGGCGTAGGTTTCGTGATGGGTGAGGATATCGAAGAGAGCATGTAGTTGGGATGGAGTTAGGGTTGTTGTGGAGGCTCCAGGGGCGAGAATGGTATGCTCCGCAGAACCATCGGTTCCCGGGGCTTCCATGCTGACGTATCCTTTCCGGGGTGGATTGAAATGTGGCGAGGCTGCGAGTCGAGGAGTTCAGGGCTGTTCTAGGTTGAGCGATAGTTAATAATATTTAACAATGATGATGATAATCTCTAGGATGAACGGATAATATTTTCACAAAAGTTAAGAGGTTCATTACCGGGGTTTAGAGAATACAAGGCTATAGCAGGCCATGCTAGAAGAAATGATTCTACCTAGGTAAGCTGGGATGACGGATTTGGTGCCTCTAGAATGTGAGAAACTTGCTGATTTGAGGTGTGACGTCGGGCCTCGGACTGAGCACGCGAGGGGCAACTGGCCCTGTAATTTAGTTTCTCCCCACCAAATGGGCAAAAAAAGCTGAACTCCAAGTGTGGGTAGGTGCCGACGAAATCTTTCCAGTAAGGAAACGAAAAGAAAACCATTCGGAAGCCTAAAATCTACTTTTCTTTTTCTTTTCTTCGGTTTCTTTAAATGGATTTACTTTACTCGGTTTTCTTCATCCTTCTGTCTTTTCGTAATTTCTTCCATTCTTCCTCTTTACTTCTTGCTTCCTTTTCGAGTCCGCCTTTTTTTGGCCAGAGGGTGCTCCCCTGTCAGCACCCCTGGAGGGCTCCCGGGCCGTTCCTCCCCCACCACGTGCCTGCCTCCACGCCGGGTCGTCAGAACACTTCTGATCAACACCACCGAATTGACACCAACCAACCATGGATGCTTTCTAGTTCTCACTCTCACAAGATGTCGCAATTGCTTTATTGACAGGTTCTGTGACGATGTCATTATTAAATATTATCTGATGCCCCCCCACCCTCCAAAGTCTCACGACTTGGTGCAAAGCTGTCACGTAACATGACACAACGTGGGTGACATGCAGGCTGCAGTGCCAGGCCGGCAGCATGTTTGCCGTTCAAGTCCGGACACCGCATCTGCCGAGGCAGGATGTACATGCTTCCACCCGACCGACATCTTGAACGGTTACCGCTTCGAGCTTTGTCATCTGCTTGAATCCCAAGTGTTGAACTGAATATAGGTACTCAGCGATGGAGCTACGGACTCCAGAGCGATCGCCTTGACCGGGCAAGCCATTTCCATCAGTACATCACGGGTACTTGCCTTGAGAAACCCCAGAGGTCGTCTGTGCAGGTGGTTGCTTGCCACTAATCTCCTCAACACACGCGCCTTCCCGTCTTCGACCAAGGAGCAGCACCCCGGGAGCCCCCGTTTACCATACCGGCCGTCGAACTTTCCCACCCTGACACGGAAAGAGTGTCCTTCTCATATCTGCACCATCCCGGCGGGTGCAACTCCAACCCGGCAGATGAGCCGCTCGGAATGTCTTGCCGAATGCTTCGAACACCAAACACAGGGCAAGCGCGCACCGAACGAGGCTCGATGGTGCCCAAAGGTCAAAATGTCGGTCGTCTTGGACCAGCCTCTCTCTTCTCTCCGTCCCGTCTTTTCGTCACCACCGACTTTACCATCTCTTATCATCTCGCAAACACAGTCAACATGTTACTTAATAGATTTTCTTCTTTTCTCCTTGTCGGCTCTCTGGCCGCCGTGTTTGCTGAGACTGTCGTCCACGATGACCAGTTCCAGCCAGACCATATACTCAGGGTAGCCGTCGCCCAAGTACCGTCTGCTTGTGAGAGTCGAGAGAGTGTGGTGGTCAATGGGACGTCCCCGGGACCAGCTGTTCGTCTGCTGCCTGGGGCGAGGACCTGGATCAGAGTCTACAATGATATTCCAGATCAAAACCTCACCATGGTAAGCAAAGCAGAGACGTACCTTCATGGCAACGCATCTTTGGCTGACCGGATTTCTAGCACTGGCATGGTCTCTCCCAACGATTCGCACCCTTCGCGGACGGCACCCTCGGAGCATCCCAGTGGCCCATACCCCCGGGCCACTTCTTCGATTACGAGATTGCGACCGAGCTGGAGGACGCTGGTTCCTACTTCTACCATTCGCACGTTGGCCTGCAGGCCCTGAGCTGCACCGGCCCGTTGATCGTTGAGGACTGTGGCGGGTCACCTTACGATTACGACGACGAGCGAATCCTGTTGTTCCAGGACCACTTCCAACGAAAGGATCAGGACATGATCCAGGGCCTTCTAGCCACCCCATTCACCTGGATGGGAGAAACCAGTGGCGTCGTGCTGAACGGCAAAGGCGTTGCCCTGGGCCAGACAGCCATCGAGGGCCCGTTGGGTGAAGCCAACGGATTTTTCGGCAGCCGCCGCTTTTCCGGCTCTGGTGCCGTCAACGAGACCTCGGACTCTTGGAATGGGCAACTGGGCGATGACCAGATCAAACCCTCCGGTGAATGCACCCTCCCGGTCATCGACGTTGAGCCGGGCAAGACATACCGGTTCCGCTTCATCGGTGCCACCGGTCTGTCCCTCCTGTCGATGGGCTTCGAGGATCACAACATCATGGCCGTCATTCAAGTTGACGGTAGCGAGTACAACGAACCAGTGGCCATCGACCACCTCCAGCTCGGCGGAGGCCAGCGATTCGACGTCCTTTTCCAAACCAAGACGGTCGATGAGCTCGGAGACAAGTGCACATACTTCCTCCAGTTCGAGACTCGCGACCGTCCCGACCCCTACCGCGGCTATGGCGTACTCCGGTACAATCTCGGCTCGCCGGTTCCCCCCGCGCCACCCGCCCCGGTCCTCAACCTCCCTACCGAGGTCAACAACTGGCTTGAATACACCCTCCAGCCCCTTGACTCGGAGGCTGGCAACTCCTGTCCCACTGCTGAAGAGGTCACCAGACGCGTAACCCTCCTCGCCGAGGAAAAAGTCGACCCCACCACTGGCCGCCTCACCTGGGAGCTCGCGCATATGTCTTGGACCGACTCGGCTCGCGACAAGCCCGTGCTCGTCGACATCTACGAGCGCGGCCAGCCCGCCATCCCCGACTACAACGCTGCCCTGGCCAACTACGGCTGGGACCCGGCCACCAGGCTTTTTCCTGCGCGCAAGGATGAGGTTCTCGAGATTGTGATCCAGAACACTGGCTCACAGTACAGCGGTGCCGCGGGCATCGTCGAGACGCACCCCTTCCACGCCCACGGCATCCACTACTACGACATCGGCGGCGGGCCGGGCGAGTACGACGCCGCCGCGAACAATGCCAAGCTGGCCGAACTGAATTACAAGCCGATCAGGCGCGACACGACGATGCTGTACCGGTACGGCGACGGCCAGGTGGAGCCCGGCGCACCGGCCGGATGGAGGGCGTGGCGCATGCGCATGTCTCACCCCGGCGTATGGATGGTGCACTGCCATGTTCTTGGCCACATGCTCATGGGTGAGTTATGCTGCACTGGTTGCATAGTTATGCCGATTCGGCTTGTGTTTGTTTTGCTGACCATCCCGGTGTTACAGGCATGGAATCCCTCTGGGTCGTCGGCAATGCCGATGACATCGTCTCGATCCCACTCGACGCGAGCCAGAGCTACTTCTCGTATGGCGGTGACGTCTACGGGAACGAGGTGCGCGCGCCGGTGGTCTATCATTATTTTGACGACCACAATAAGTGTGTCGGCATGCGTGCCAGCAACTGCACAAAGTGATTTTTGAGGCGGGACGGAAGGCGTCGGCTCGGATTTGTTTGTTTTTTCTCTATTCTGGCGTATGGTTAACTGTATAACAGCGTGATAGACAGCGTTGCTTGGTGCTTTTGCATAGAATAGAATCGGATATCGGCCAAGACACTGCCCCTTTTTTTCCCTTTTGCTTGTGTTTGTTAGTGAGTGTTGATGACAATCTCGTTGGTTGGGGCCAGCCCCTGTTAGCTGAGTTTGTGGCGAGATGACTCTTTTGAGCCTGACCGCCTGACGGCGGAGCGGAACCTGTGTCTCACGGATATTTCCTTCTCTCCATCCGAGGCCTTCCGTTTGTTTCTTTCTTTTGTTCATCCAACTGTCTTCGCTCATTGCCACGGCATCAGTCACTCGTTTACAGGCGGACAACGACACTCGTTTACCTACTGCAACAACCACGATCATTACGAGGAAAGCATCGCTACGGGTATCACAACTACAAGAACCACCCACCACCAGTCAGAGACGACACAACAGCCAACAACAAAAAAGCAAGAACCAAACCAAACCAAAAAATGGCCGGCCCAACCACCCGTCTCACTACTGCCCTCCCGCTCATCCTCGCGCTGCTCGCCGCCGCCGGCCACCCCGTCGCCGCCCGCACCGACTACGCCGGCTGCGTCTCCACCGAGCTGCCCGCCGCCCACACCACCATCTGGTACGTGCCCGGCACCGGCGAGCTGTGTGAGCCCGTCGACTGTGGCGGCGGCCGCGCACCGCCCAAGACCGTCCCGGGCTGCCCGGCGTACAAGGGCACGGAGACGGTCACGCCCAAGTTTTGGGATGGGTTTGAGGGGGCCGCGAAGGCTACGCCGACGGCGGGGCCTGGGGCGGGAGGTGATGGGGATGGGGAGGATAGTGCGGATGAGGGGGAGGATGGTGATGGGGAGGGTGAGGATGGTGGGAATGGGGTTGGTGTCGGTGTGGGTGTGACGGGCGGGGCGAAGGGTACGGTCACGGTCACGCTGGGTGGCGGCACGGCGGCGGTATCGAGGACGGCGAGCAGGACGAAGGATGTCGAGGAGACGGGTGCGGCGGGGGCTGGGGGTGATAGTGATGATGAGGATGAGGATGGGGAGGGCGGCAAGTCGTCGGCTGCGACGGCGACGGGTGGAGGTCGCAAGCCCATGGCTACGTTGACTCAGGTCATGACGGCGGTGGAGACGGTTGATGGTGTCGCTAGACCTGCGCCGACGAGTGAGGGTGATGGTGAGGGCGTGGCTGCGCAGAGCACCGTGTCGCTTGCGGCTGCGATGCCGACGGCGGCGGTTGTTGGGAAGACGGTGTTTGGGGTTGTGGCGGCGGGTGTTGCGGCGGCTGGGTTGGTGCTTGCTTAAGTTGGTTGATTGAGTGGGTGAGGGGAAGAGAGGTGTTTCTGTCGTGTGTAGGTTAGTATCTAGATTGATTGTAATTGGAACCGCCGCTCTGGGTTTTGTTGGGAGCTGTTGTCGCGAGATGGCACGGTCGTGATTGTACATGTACAAAGCATTTGTGCAATTGTTGTTGCCCTTGGCTTCACACCTCCAAAAAATAAAAACATGGATGCTGTCTCCAAACTCTCAATTCCTCGGCCCTGAGCCCCTGACAGATTTGGGGAATGCCCCACTAAGCCAAGGCGGTGGCAGTCGGCGGTATCCTGGACCTTTTGGGCTTTGCGGAGGCAGGCCAGCCCCTTCGTTCTTGCCCTCAGCTTTCATCCACTGGGCAACGGCCGGGCACATCCCAAGCAGGCTGGGGATTCTCCACCTCAACACTGCCAATTCCCGCTGCCATCCCGCGTTTGCTCGGAGCAACATTCGGATTGCCAACATCGTGAGCGCAAGAACTCAGAAAAAAAGCCTCTTTATCAACTCCTGAGATTTTACGTGTTACCTCTACCACCACTGGTCAATCGCTTGGTCCCCTCTTCTGCCACCTACAGAAGGTCGGGTGACGTGGTCCAGTGCCATTGCGCAGCTGCATTCAGCGAATTGACGGCCGAACTGCTGCTGCATCTCGCAACGCCTGGTCGACATACATTTCTGGCCCCTTCACCGTTCCCAAAAATCAACTGATACACTCGATAATCAGCTTGCTTCTATCATTCAAGATGTCACCAGACGCTGAGCCATCTGCGCAGATGGCCAATGGCCTCGCCGACGCGGGGCAGGTCGCCCTTATCGACGAACCAACCACTCCGCTCGATGATGATTCTATTATTGCTTCGTCGCAGCAAAGCTTTCCCCCGACAGAGGCGCCGGGTTCCCCAATAGACCCGGGGTCTTCGTTCAAAACCGAGCTCAATGAAGATCGTGCGGCGGCGTCCGTAATCCCGTCGTCGCTGACCCCGCCTCCCTCCTCCCAGGTAACCAACGCTGTTGGCGCGGGTGCGGTCAATCTGCAACGCTCCGGAATTTTTTCGCCGCCGGCGACCGGTATCAACGGTGCCAGGCGCGAAAGCGTGCCGGGCGATTTTATTCCCCCAACCCAATCCCAGATTGCTGATGCGTCTGTCGAAGAGCTCCGAAGCTTGCTCCAGGCATGCATGGCTGACCAGGCACGGCTCAAAATGGAAGCCGCCCACCACAAGCTGCAATTCAACATGCTCGCCCTTCGTGCCGAAGAAGACACAAAACGCGCCGCCGTCGAGCACGAGATGACCAAGAAGGAGGTGCAAGTGCTGCAGCAAGCCGAATGCGCACGCCAAGCTCGCCGCGACATCACCGCTGCCTCGGAATCCACACAAGCCAAGTACATGCAACTTAGGGCGTTGCATGAACTAGTGCTCGAGGAGAACGATACTTTGCACAAAAAGTTCAAGGCGGCAAAGAAGGTCATACAGCAGAAGGAGGACGAGATCGCCAGCCTAGCAGACGATCGGGAGATGCTTCTGAACCGCATCCGGGAGAACCGTGAACACTTCCACCTGCTCTGCAGCCCTGGAGGTATGTTTCATGGGGCCGTAACGCCTAAGCCCCAAGCTACAAGCCCTCAGCAGCAACGAGCCACCCCGCGGCAGACGCCTAGGACAGCGCACCGAGACAACCACCGGGACCACAGCCAAGAAGGGTTTGCCGTCCTGCTTCAGGCACTCACGCAAGACAACAACAGCGCCCCTTCGACCCCCATCGTCGGCCAACGCCCAGCACCCCGTATCCCGTTAAAGCACACTCGCAACGTCCAGTCCATGTCTTCCTTGCCGTCCACGCCGATCGCCCGCACCCCAGCAAACAACAGAGGGCTCCTCCCGTCGATCGATCTTGTACCACAAACCGAGCCGCCTCACCGCCAACCTCGCTTCGTGCCCGATGCGCCGGCCACGCCCAAGGGCCGGGATCGGCGCAAGAGCAGAGAGAGCACGATTTCGGCCGAGGATAACCAGGAGCTTGCCCGCCAGGCACTGCAATCCTTTGTCTCCCGCGGCTCGCAACATTCACAAACCTCGCGGCGGCGTCTGTCGGATGAGGAGGCAGAAGCGGAAATCTACGAGAGCCAGGCCAGCCAAGCGGCCTCGGAGATGCTCCGCCGTGACGCACGGGAGAGTTTTGAAGTCGCCGGCTCGGTTGGGAACTCCAGGGATGGCACACCGGCGGCGGCGGACAGGAGCGCCAAACTGCAGGCGAAGTTGTTTGGGGGCCTGAATAAGGGCGGGCTGCCGTCGCAGGGAAAGCGCAAGTTCAGCGCGCATCATGGCGAGGTGGCCGATGGGTATTCGGTGCATGACCGCATCACGAGCCCAACCAAAAAGTTGCGCGAGGTCGGCGGGCTGAGGGACCCCGGCCGTGTCGGTCTCGGGATACAATATGGCAGAGAGATCTAACTTCAGGTAGCTGCGGGTAGTAGTACATGGGTTTGGGGCTTATCCTTATGGAGTACCGGCGCAACGGCATTTTTATTCTCAAAACGGACGTGATACCTGCAAAAGGGCGCTCAGTTCAGTCAGCGGCTGGCGATGGGATTCAGTGGTTTCAGTGGCGGGCGAAGGGAATGGCCGGAATCGAAGCGCTATACTCGAGGTGGTTTGCAGACTCGGTCGCGGAGGATGCCCCTCAGACTGGCTCCGGGGTTTGCGGGCTTGTAGGGTAGACAGACACCAATTGAATCACGGTGAAACATATCAGAGCTTAACCTGTTGTTGTGACACTTGACTATTCCATACCTAGGTGGGTAGCTTGGATATTGAATCCGGCCCTGATGCCGCCAAGAGCCCTGTTGGCTTCCGTACCCCACGGTGGGGACACACGCTGCCGAGCTGCATTGCCGCCGTTTTGCCTCCCCGGGATTGTGTTTTCCCCCTCTGCAATTGCACTTGCCGCGAGGTTCGCTTTGGATCTCCATCGGCCTCGCGGCCCCGAGTTGTCCCGAGTGTAGTGCCGTCGGGAAGGCGTGTGGATTTTTGGTTTATTTATCTTTCCAGTCAACGTTCATTACTAGCAGCTGGTGTTTTCATCGAGTGACTGGAGGTGTCAAGTGTCGTTGGCGTATCTGGCTGAACCCAACTGCCGAAACTCTTGTGTGACTTGCATCTGTTCGTCCATTGAAGTTTCCCAACTCACTCAACGTCGTTTCAAACGTCGTTTCACTGAACACGCCAACGTCCCAAACCTCACCCGCCACAACACCAGCACCATGGCCGCCCTCCCCAAAGGCCTCAAGGCCGTCCTGACCAAAGCCCCCACCGACGTCGTGATCCTCTCTTCCCTCCGCACCCCCATCTGCCGCTCCTACCGCGGCCAGCTCAAGGACGCCTACCCGGAAGAGCTCCTCTCCGTCGTCCTGCGCGCCACCCTCGACAAGAACCCGCAACTCGACCCCTCCGCCATCGACGACGTCGCCGTCGGCGTGGTCCTCAACGAGCTCGGCGGCTCCAAGGCCGCCCGCATGGCCATGAACCACGTCGGCTTCCCCACCTCCACCTCCCTCTACACCGCCAACCGCGCCTGCGCCTCCTCCCTCCAGACCATCGCCCTCGTCGCCGCCCAGATCCGCACCACCATGATCGACGTCGGCATCGGCGCCGGCATGGAGAGCATGACCCGCAACTACGCCTCCAAGGCCATCCCCGTCGACGCCTGGCCCGCCCTGCGCCAGAGCGCCGTCCAGGACGCCGTCGACTGCGTCATGCCCATGGGCCTGACCAGCGAGAACGTGGCCAGCCGCTATGGCGTGTCCCGCGCGGACCAGGACGCCTTCGCGGTGGAATCGCATGCGCGGGCGGCGCGCGCGAGGCAGGCCGGCGCGTTTGATGAGGAGATTGTGCCCGTCACGACGCGGTTTCAGGAGGTGGATAGGAAGGGGGAGAAGGTGGGTGAGGAGCGGATGGTGACGGTGACGAGGGATGATGGGATTAGGGAGGGGGCGTCCGTCGAGGCGCTGGCTAAGCTGAAGCCCGCGTTTAAGGAGGATGGCGCGAGCACCGCGGGGAATTCGAGCCAGGTTAGTGATGGTGCGGCGGCGACGTTGTTGATGCGCCGGAGCACGGCTACGCAGTTGGGGTTGGCGGATAGCATTATGGGGAAGTTTGTGGCCGCGTCGGTGGTGGGGTGCAAGCCGGATGAGATGGGCGTGGGGCCGGCGCTGGCGATTCCCAAGGTGCTGGGCCAGCTGGGCCTGAGCAATGCGGATGTGGATCGGTGGGAGATCAATGAGGCGTTTGCGAGCCAGGCGATCTACTGCGTGCGGGAGCTGGGGTTGGAGAAGGCGTTGGTGGATGGGAAGGTTAACCCGGATGGCGGTGCCATTGCGCTGGGCCACCCGCTGGGCGCGACGGGTGCGCGTATGGTGAGCACGCTGATGCACGGGCTGGGCAGGACTGGTGGGGAGGTGGGTGTGGTGAGTATGTGTATTGGGACGGGCATGGGGATGGCGGGCGTGTTTGTGAGGGAGTAAGCTGTTTAAGCGGCTGGTTAGGGCGAGGGAAGACATGGGGGGGTGATGGTGTCTATCGTCCTTAATACGAGGAATCTATCTCCCATGTCTCACACCGAGTACCAATTATCTACAGCGTAAGCTCAGATGTGTACAATAAACGCAGACTTCATCATGGACCGTAGTTACGGCCGGCTGCTGGGGACTCAACCGGAGTGTAGGCCGGCTGACTGCTCAGCTCGGCACTCCTAGTATCCCCCTGGACATAATAGTGCTGACCTGCCAATTCGTGGGTAGGCCTCTCCGCCATGAGCTCGTGCTTCTCAGCCGGGGTCCGGGAATAGTACGCAGGCGTCTCCGGTGGCGGGTATGCGGCGGCCGCCTGTTGCTGGGCCACCAGCATGGCCTTCTGCATCCTGTTCATCCTCCACCACAAGAATGCCACGGCCGCCAAGAGGAGAGCACCAGCAGCCGCACCAACCCCAATGCCTGCCTGAGCCCCAGTGGATAGTCCAGTGGATTCGTTCGAGTTTGCGTTTGAGTTCGAGTTTGCGGAGCCCGTGGCGTCTGACCGGTCTCCTCCTGCTGCGGTTCCAGTGGTTGATGCCGAGGTGGTTTCTGTGGACGAGTGTTCTACTGCGTCCGAGGTCGTACCCGAACTTGTGGCTGAGCTCGTCGGAGCGGATGTCTCTTTTGCTGTCCCGAGCGGAGTTACGACGTCGTACCGCGACACTGCACCGTTCCATAAAGCCCACACGTGTGTAGGCGCCGGTTGGATCTCCAAGCGGCCTGCTGCACAACAGTTGGCGTCACCCTCGCAGCAAAAAGCTGTCTCAGAACCGGTCTGACTAAAGCAATAATCCAGATTCCACCCTCGGCCCTCGTGGCCTGGAAGATCCGGGTCAGCATGGAGAGTCTTTTGAGTGCGCGTTCTGCACGCCGTATAGCGGACTCACTTAAGCAGAACTTGGGGCACTCCGGGGCCTCAAATGTCGGGTCGGTACACGATCCCCGAGCGTACCAGTCTGGATTCCCCTTGGCCAAGCAGAGTTTGTTCGCAAGGCAGGCCCCGGCGATTTTCCCACCGGCACAACACGGACTATGCTCAGCTTCCGTGTCACAGGGCAAGTCGCCCGGCGCCTCTTCGCCCCCTGGGTAGTAGCACTTCTTGCCCAGACATGTCTGGAGAAGACCAAGGTGAAGTAGAAATATCAAGGGCGTCTTCATTTTGACCAAGACTGGCCTGGTTATCGGGTTCTCACTCGGTGTCGGACTTTTGAGAGCCGTGTCTCTTGACTTTGGTGACCTGCGCTCGAACGAGGAAGTTGTCGAAGGAGCAAAGTCGATCGGGGATGTCTTGGGTGAAGACGAAATTACGAGCCCATTACTTGGCCCCCAAAAATGGAGACGCGCTATGCTGAAGCTGACAGCTGCATTCACACTTCTCCAATCAACCCACTAGCCGCAAAATCGTCGCCGACCGCTGTGCCACTCGCGCTATTCACTAGCTCTGCTCTAAAAAGGGAAAGTCAGTTCGCTGGCAAGGGGCCCTGGGGGCCGAAACCAGGGGTATCAACAGGGGCTCATCTGACCATTCCACCAATCCCGCCAAGCGACCCAATCGTTCGAGGAAAGACGCATTGAACCGGGCATGCCGAGTGGTCGTGGAGCGAGCGCCTCATCCCCACGTTTATTCGAGACAGCCACGCTTGTCGTCGCCCTATGGGTTGTGGGCCGTGATCTTCGTGTTCCCCCAGGTTGCTACGCTACTCTTGATATGTTAGATATTATTATTATTTCCTACACCGATATGCCCGTGGGCGCGCCGGTCCTTCTACTGCTATTTACAAAGGAAACCGTACCGTATAGGCCGGATAAAAACCTCTGTCTACCACTTTGAGTCAACAATCTATGAATCCGTCATACTGCAAAAGAAAGGAGGCCCTTTGCCGGCCTCCGGGCCCTCTAGCCCTCCCCATCCACTGTTTCTAGCTCCAGCCTTCTGGCCAGCCTATACTCCAGTAGCCGGCCAGAGTCCATCAGCCAGCCAAGGACCTTCCTAACAAATCTTCTGCTCCGCGCACCTACTCCCCGTAATACGGTTTGTAGGTCCCGATGTGACCGAATCTCTTTGCCGTCCCACGGCCTTTGTAACGGCGGGTCGGGGCACCAAACCACCAAGTGCTCCACTGTCTCCCTGCCCCTCCCGCACTCGCAATAGGGGGTACGGACCTCCGGGACTTTCACCCTGAACAGGTAGTCCCGAAGGCCTATATCCCCGATACGGGCCTGGGAAAGGAGGGAGCTCTGCGCCTTTGTAAGACCTTCGTGTCTCATCAGAGCTTTGTCGGTAAATAAGAGGGCTGGGGGGTCTTCGTCGGCTATCCTCCTGTTTAATACCCTCTGTCGAGTAGTACTTTGTTGACTAGCTCTCTGTTGTTCCCACCGGGCCTGCCAGGCCAGTTCGACCACCTCCTTGGTATTCGACCCCCTATCCTTCCCCCCAATCTTCCATTTGTAGTTAACCCACTGGGCCACTACACTAGCGGCTAGTTCAGTGGGCGTGGGACTCTGCGGGCCCTGACGGGGCCTCCGGCCTCGGGTTTTCCTCCTCTTGTTGAACCTTCGGTAGACCTTATTGCAGGCCTCAGTAATTAGATGCCCCGTGGTTATTCTCTCAGCCTCCGGCCCAGCCCCTGACTGTAGGGCCTGCTTCTGTAGCCGGCCCTCGAAGTCGGCCAGCCGCTTGTTGAGATATAAGTCTAGCGGTGGCACCCAGGCCTCTGTTTCTAAGCACCGAATAGGAGCTGACTTGTATGCCCCTACTACTATTCGAAGGCTCCTGTTCTGAGCTTTTGACAAGACCTTTGCAGGCCCCTTCGGCCCTGTAGCTCTTGGAGCTGTTGGTTGGTGGAAGCTGGGGGCTCCGTAAGCTATGGCACTGCGGATGCACTTTACGTAGACCTCCCGAGCCCTGGATAGGCTCGGGCCCCACGTCTTTGCTGCAATCCTCGATAAGGCGAAATCTTGGGTTTTGAGTTTCCGTTCCACAGCTTGTTGGTGCGCCCTCCATGACAGCTTCCAGTCCAGCCAGACTCCTAGAAACCGAGCCGATTCCACTGGCTTAACTGTGCTGTAGCCACTGGCCCCTGGGTGGGCCAGGGCCACCGGGTTCTCCCACTGTCTCCGACCTTTGTTGAAGTGAATTAATTCGCACTTTTGAGGTGCGAACGCCATCCCCCGGGTACCAGCCCACTGCAAGCAGGTCTTCCAAGCTTTTTCCAGTTGCTGTGTATTGGCCTCTGGGTTCTTTCCAAAGGCCAGTAGGTTTGTGTCGTCTGCGAACCCTACTATGCTAACCAGTGGATGGGCTGTTTTCAGGGCCTGATATAGGGAGGCAATGTAGAGGATAAATAGGATCGGGGATAGTGGTGAGCCCTGGGGGACTCCCGCTATGACTGGGATGTCCTCTGTTTTCTGGCCGTCGAAGTGGAGGATCGCAACTCTGTTACTTAACCACGCCTTCACCCACAGAACCACCCACTGTGGGTAACCCTGTAGCCGAAGAGTGGCTAGTAGCCGGGTATGGTTGACGGTGTCGAATGCCCCTGAGATATCCAACTGTAGAAGGGAGGCGGTTGCTTTCTGCCGCCAGGCCTCCTGGACTTGGGCTACGACTAGCCGAATCGCTACCTCTGTTGACCTGTGCTCTCGGTTTCCCATCTGCTCCGCTGGTAGTAGGCCGTAGGCCTCTGCAGCACTAGTAATCCTCTCTGCTACCAGTGCTTCTATGACCTTCCCAACTGTAGGTAGGAGGGCTATGGGCCTGTAACCTCCTGGAGTTCGGTAGGTACTCGGCTCTTTTCCGGGCTTTTGTAGGACAACTGTTTTGGCTCTCTTGAATATTTCTGGAAACCATCCGATCCGGAAACACGCCTCCGTGAGAACCGCTAGCACCCTGAACAGTGGGCGCCCGCAGGCCTTAAGAAGGCCTATAGGTAAGTGGTCCTCGCCTGGAGCCTTCCAAGGACTAATCTTCGAAAGGACTGCCCTAACATCACCCACTGTAACCTTTTCCTCTATATTGAACTTCGGAACCCACTGTTCTAGCAGGTCCGGGTCCTCTATATCAGAAAGGTCAGCTTCTGGGTTAGGGTAGAACCGGCGTGCTAAGGCCTCCGCCTTCTCCTTGTGGGTGGAGAGGTCCTGGCCTCCGGGGGGCCCTGTGAGAGCGGGTAGTTTCGGGGGATCTGGGGGGGCGAAGCTTCTGCAACGGGCCCAGCGTTCTAGGCTCCATAGCAGGTCGGTTTTGTGGGTGGCTTTCTGCATTGTTGTCCTCCAGGTCTTCGTTTTCTCTTTGTTGATGGTGGCCGCGAGGGCCCGTAGACCTTGGTTAAGTCTTTCTTTGTTGTGCTCCGACGGGGCTGCCTTGCACTCCCTTTCGGCTCTCCTTGCCTCTCCCTGGGCCTCCTGGACCTCCACTGACCACCACGGCGAGCCGTGGCCTCTGTTGGCCTTCTTCCGAGGGGTGGCCACTTCAGCTATCCTCTGTAGCTCCTCGACCAACCAGTTGAATGCTTCTTTTAAACCCTCCTGCTCCCTGACTTGTGCCCGGAGGCCCTGTGGCCCTGGGTCCTCTAGGCCTATTTTCTCTGGTAGGAGGGCCGCCTCGGCCTCCACCCTACGCCTGTCCATCATCTTCCAGTTCCAACCCCCTGGCTGGGTTTGTTGTGGTAGGGGGCCTCCGATGTCAGCTTCCAAAATCTGTGGGTAGTGGTCTGACTTCCCCCTGTATTCCAGGCCGTAGTAGGTCGTTTGTAGACCCACTGATGCCCAGAAGTGGTCTATTGTCGAAGTGCGGCCTCGCTGGGCCCCCTGCGGTGCCCTGGTTATAGTGCCTGCTGGAGTTCGAAGATCGAGATCCCACTGTAGTGCCAACTCTAGGAGAGCCTCGGCCTTCCTTTCGTACCGGCCAAACCGGTCCCAATGCGGGTGGTGTAGGTTAAAGTCCCCCGCTAATACTACTGGGTAGGCTGGGGCCGGCCGACTTAGGAGGGTTTGTAGGAGGGTTTTATCCTCAAGGGGGTTATAGATAGACCAGAGTTCTAGTCCACTGTTCCCGAGCCCTGGGAACCATACCTTACAATGTTCCTCTGAAGTCTCATATTCCCACTGTCCTGTGTCGAACTTTCGGCTGACGAATATAGCCGCTCGCCCACTTGCTTTATGAACTAGGTGGTATTTCGAGCCTCTGGGACAGTAGGTTGACTTGGTTTGTTGGTTGATCCATGGCTCCTGAATAGCCATTAGGTCGTACTGCGCTTCTTCTAGCAGGGCCTCGAGTGCCTGCTTGTTTCCTTCGGTGTTCCACAGCAGGACTCTAATTTTCATTAGTTTCCATAGTTGCGTCTTCAGCTGGTTGGGCCTGTTCGGCCGGCTGGGTAGGCTGGGTAGGCTGGGTGGGCTGAGTGGGCTGGGTGGGCTGGATAGCTCCGAATATCCCCCCCGAACCAAGGCTAATCCGGCTTTGGGAGGGGTCCCTTCCAGCCACTGAAATCAACGTTGGCCGGCCTCTGCCCAACCGTGGCCTTTTTGCCCCGACTCTCAGAAATCCATACTCCTCCTCCTGTGGTCGGGCCTTCTCGTAGGTGAATGCTGATCTTGGTGCTGTTATAGGCTCCGCAGCTGCTGTCCGAGCTGGCTCGAACACCCTTGGTCGGTATTGGTATGCCTCTCTCGCCTCCTGCTTGGCCCTGGCCCTTCCCGGGCACTCCTTGGCCCAGCCCGGGTGCCTTCCTCCGCAGCAGGGGCACTTACAGGGCACCTGACCCTGCTGGGTAGGGCAGAGGGCCTCCCCGGCCCTCCCGCCCTCCCCATGGGCCCCCGTACCACACCTCCCACACAGGGCCTCTTTCTGGCAAAACCTCTGTATGTGGCCCCATTTCCAACACTTGAAGCACTGTTTCGGTTCCAGCATTGCCCAGTAGGGCTCGCAGTCGAGTAGCTGAGCGTTCCAGATTATCCCCTGGTCACAGGCCTTCCGAGCCTCCTCTTGGTCTCTAAGGGCAACTAGTACCGTCGCCCTGGTAAACCCTGGGTTGGTTGGGACTCTGAACTTGACCTTGTCCACTGACCAAAGGCCTAGTTCTCCCCCGAACACCTCCTCCGTAGTACCCTGTAGGTCGGCCTTCCTCAGGCCCTTCACCAGCACTGCGTAAGTTCTGCCAGCCTCTTTAGCCTGCTCCCCGAAGGCTTGTTGAATCCACTGGGTGTTGTTGGAATGCCAGCTTTTGGTGTTCGAGTCGTTGAACGTTACCACTGTGTCCCCGCTAGGGAGCTTCCGGGCTGCAATAGCTCCCTGCTTGGTTGAGGCTTGGTTGATGGCCTGGATGATTTCGACTGGGGACCTTTGTGCAAGGTCGGCTGACACGTTGGCTCCCCGCACTAGTAGCTCCCGGTCGGCCCTCTGGGGGATGATTTTCGTAGGTTGAGCTTGCAAGCCTTGCCCGGGCCCTGCGGCCACTGCAGCCCACGAACGGCCCTGTGTCGCACTTCGATTGGGTCCCACGGCAGCCTGGACCGCCTCCGTAACTACTTTCTGTAGGTGGGCTGCCGTAAGCCCTCCCAGGCTTTCCTTCGAGTGGTGGTGCCCCTGTTTCTGACTTGCAAATAGGTCGCTTAGGTCCTTTGCGAGGCCCCGGGCCTCTCCTCTGTTCTCGATAGGTACTAGATTTACCAAGCCGTTCAACAGGCCTCTGAAATGCTCTGCCTTAGGTAGTCTCGGGGGGGTTAGGCGCTGTGGAGGGCCATGCAGAGGGCCCTGCGAGAGGACCTCTACCAGGGGGCCCTCTATGGGGGGCCCCTCCGACGGGGCCGATGGCGGTTGGCCTGCCCACATCAGGGGCTTCGTCTTGCTGGCTTCAGGGGCTTCGTTCCGTTGGCTGGCCGGGTAACGGGGCCAAGGCTCTTAGTGGCTTAGCGGTCGAAAATTTTGGACGCGGTCGACGCGGTCGGCACCCGCGGGTACCCTCCTAACCGTAGCACTCACTGCGGCCGCGCCACTGGTCGCGCACCGTTGCAAGCGGTATTGTTAGATAGGATTTTTCGAGGGCTTTCGAATGCTGTCGGTTTCGTCGGTTTTGGCCCACTTTTCGTGAGGCGATCTCTCCTTTTTCCTATGCTTCTTTACTATATTAAAGATATTATTATTAGAATATTCGAATGATATGTTAGATATTACCTCTTTGTTCTTACAAAATTCGGAAGGGCTCGGGACCCCCCGTTTGCTTGATCCAAGCCCATATCGACCGGGGTTTGTCGTCATTTTGAGTGCTGCTGCTGGTTGTACTCTATCAACGTGCTCCCTGCACCAGAACCGCAGTTGATAGGGTTGAATACAAATGATGGGTGAGCCGGATATGAAACAGGGACCAGGCCGTTACTTGCAGCTCTAGCCTGCACGACGGTGTCTGAAGTCTTCTTGTGTAGTTTACTTTGATGCCGCTAGTTACCGTAACTAGGGTTATGCCGGAGTTGGTGGTCAGCTTCGCTCTCTCAACAGGTACGAAACCAGGAACTTGAACAACTGCCATAGAATTTGGACCGGGTATGTGTGTATTTTACCGGGCCCGCGGCAAACGAGGCATTCAAGTCAGGTACCTCAAGATACGTAAAATCTAGGAACAAGTCTATGTTGTAGATCATGGCAAACTTGTTCAGCTTGCCGCGTCTTGTCAGCTCTCGAGTGACCCCAGACGGAGACACCGCCAGGTGCCAGTGATGTCAATGGAGTGAGATGTGAGCTGGGATATCGTAAGGAGAGGACGTTCCATAATTTGTTATTTGGGATTAGCATACACATTGCTCTAGAATGATACCTAAACTGCAAAATGAAAAACAGTGGAAGTCACCGGCGATAAAATTTAGAATAAACGTTTTGCAGGAGTAGTTTTGCTCAACACTTTTCATGTTTGTAATCGTGTTATGCTTTCTAAGGTTGTATTCATAAGTTCTCGCCCAAGATTTAGTCAATACAAACTTGTCTGCTGTTGAAAGCAAGACAGTTAGCGGTGCTTACGTACTTCGATTGCTAGGTTGTGGTGATAGTTTCATAAACAGCCTGAGGATTGTTAATTTTCTACAGCGGCAAAGGATGGCAGAAGATGATGATATCCGTGACAACTTGAGACGGTGGTAAATGGCAATACTGGGAACCACCATAAATGATTTTGAACGGTATAGGCTCGTGTAGCTGAGAGTTAAGATATAGTTTTGCACCAACGAGCCGACCTCGCCAAGTAACACAGGGCACCAAATATGCAAGGCAAAGTTTGTATTGAGCTATGAATGGCGGCATATTTGACGCCCCCAACATGCCAGTCGACTAATTCCCATCTCCATTCCAGACCAGTCCTCGGGGTATCAACCTGTCCGAAACGGAACTGTCCGTCGTACGCTAAATCCAATGACGCCCATCCTAGAACTCCGGCAAAAAATCGCAAAGAAAAGCCGCCCGGAAAAGTCTTGTTGGCCGATGAGCGGCGAGACTCGGGATCCGAGCACGCAGCCTCAGATCATGTGGCTGATATCGAGCCTCATCTCCGCCCCAAAGGTGAAGGTATGATGTCGTACATAGCTGGTGCTTGCCCGCCGCAGATGAACCGATCGAGTTGGGCCGGTTCGCTAACTGGCGTCATCCTCGTTGGGATGATGACAATGCCACCAACTGCCACCGCGAAGCCGCTCGCCAAAAAAAAGGGACGATCACATGAGGTTGAGATGGGGCTCGGCGTTTTAGATTTAGATGCAGTCGGTGCATTGGCTATGCTGGCAGTGGGCGCAAGAGGTGCTGATGACGAGCATAGACCCGCACTTGCAGCAGCGAGGTTGGTAGGCAGACATGGTGGGATAGATGGCGGTTGGTGGGTGTGTTTGGTTTGGGGTTGATGTCAATCAAGGTCGATGGTGTGTGTTGTTTGGAATTTCTGGCAAGCTTGATGCGATGTTGCAGAAGGAAGGCGGGGAAAGTTTGATGGTTTGATCGAGTGGTGTGAAGGAGGGGAAGAGGGACAGAGGGAGGGTCTAGCAGATAATATATACGCTTTGCAGCTCGCAGCTGGGGGGGGAGAGTGGCAAAGTTTTTGACCATGTCACAATGGTGGTGGAAGGGTCCCGGGAGCCTCAGTCCTTTGTCTCATCTTGTGGAACGAATGAGAGAGCTCAGCTGCGGGATGGCGCCCCGGGGTACGGCAAAAGTCGGAACCATTTGCAAGGCACACCAGCTTACTGGCTGCCGGACACACGCCCAAGGCGCCCCAGCACAACTCCAGCGCCGCGGGATGTGTTTTCGAGGGAAATGTGGCTCGAGGATTTGGGGGTGGCCGGCTGAGAAGGTGCAAGTGTGGTCGGTTGCGCTGCGCCTGCCTCCCTGAGCTCAGGGATCATCGTAGCATCCCACTGCCTATCATGCACCCCGGATTGGCCGGACTGACAAGCTGCTTCCAATGGGAGAAAGCCATGAGGTTTAAACATTTGCTAAGTGCTATTCTGTGGGGGGAACGGCGGTACTCTCCGTTGCCAATTTCGATGACATCAGTGGGGGTTCAGTACCCTGGCGTCCCTGCCCGCGCTCCTCGAGCGTGGGTGCGAACTGTCCATCTCGAGATCCTCATCACACTGCCATCGAAGTAAACAGAAAGAATAATTGAACACAGTAGAAAACAATATGGGAATCGAACACTGAGATCCTGATCTGGGAACTTGGAGATCGACGGGATTGACAGCTCTTGAGCTTCCTGGCCCGTTTTAGGACAGGCGGGCGTGCATTGCCCAAGACCAGGTTTTCACTGCCTTCAGCCCGAGCATTCTTCGCGCATTTGCTTTCGAAACGATCACATCTGACAGACGGCGTCACTCATACCACTGACTTTCGTATCACATGCGTGTTACGAACGTCGTCCGATTTTGCGGTTGCTCACGTGCCAGGCGATGACGTCGCTCACGGACGTTGTTGTTAGACTAGTTAGGTACTCAAAAACCGACCCGGAAGGCCCCGAAGGAGAGACTCTGAACCGCCATAATTTGGAAAAGCGGGGCTGTTCCTGTGGCAGATTTTCTGAACATCAAACACAACACGCACACAAGACAAAAAGTGGATCCACCCACAAGCCCCACCTGATCTTGTCCGGCCACAGCCACACAGGTTCCTTCCACCAACTTGAGCACAAAAGACAAGAAGCCGGAACGGAAGCAATTAACCAACAATCCGGAAGCACCAAATTGATTGAGATGGAAAATGCGCTGCGGCGAACGACCGACAAGGGCCTCAAGGACGGGTTCCGTTGCCTCCTGCGCCCATCCTACACAGGAGGCTTCCCGGAGTGGCTGGCTGCCTCTTTCGGCCGTGCGGTGGGGTCCAGGTGTTTCTTAGGACCTGCGGTCACTGGCCGGATCGGATGTCAGAGCGGCGAGACGGCCCTCCGGCGTTCTCAATTGAGCACTGTGGTCCGGCAGTATGAGTCGTCGGAGAGCGGTGGGGTCACTAGACCGCGCTGCCGCCTTGCGAAGAGCCACGCAGTCAATGTCCGAACCAAATAGCGGCTGAGTTGCCGAGTTGTCGCAGAGAATGCCTAAAAGGCTGCCTTGGCCTTGGGCGGAATCGGCATCGAATCAACATCGAAGCCCCCGACCCCTGGTTGCATGTTGATTTCGATGTCGAAAATGCATAAAGGTTGTTTCCTTCTCATGCACCGCGACCTGGTGTAGCTTCTCTCCCCTTCATCTCGGCCTTGAATCACCAACGACAGTACTCGACTCAATGTTCCTGTTGTCGTGAACGGAGAATTCGCAGATCGACGCTATGGTTCTCACCAGAATAGTCAGCGGTTGCCCAAGCCACGAAGCCGGTAATGCTGCGATGGCAAACGGTTTGACTCTCGCTGTCGGGCCAAAGAAACCAAGCAACTCGCTCCAGCTCCAATTGCACCCGTTCTCGTCAGAACATGAGAGGGGAGGCTTGATTGTCAAGATCCAGCCGCCGAGGGAGCCCGAGAACGCCGACCTCCACCATGTTCCTTGCGACCTTGTGTTGTCCATCGACATCTCCGGTAGTATGGCAGATGAGGCCCCCGCGCCTTCAAAGCCCGGAGGGGAGGCGGGCGAGGATACTGGCTTGAGGGTTATTGACCTCGTCAAACACGCGGCTCGAACTATCGTGGCGACGTTGGATTCCAGAGATCGCCTGGGCATTGTCACATTTACAAACCGATCCAAGGTGGGGATCCCGCCATGTTTGTGCAAAGATATTCCGCTAATGAAATAAGGTACTCCAACCCCTCATGTCTATGACAGACGAGAACAAAGCCAAGACCCTTGAGAATATCGAGAGTATGGAACCGTTTAGCTCCACGAACATGTGGCACGGCATCCGCGATGGTCTCAGCTTGTTCTCGGAGGCCGAAGGCGGCTCAACCGGCAGAGTACCCGCCCTGCTGGTCCTGACAGACGGCATGCCGAATTACATGTGTCCCCCGAAGGGATATGTTCCCATGCTGCGAAGCATGGAGCCACTGCCGGCCACCATCCACACTTTTGGTTTCGGCTATGAACTTAGGTCGGGGCTGCTGAAGTCGATTGCTGAGGTCGGCGGCGGCAACTACTCCTTCATTCCCGACGCTGGCATGCTTGTGAGTCCAGGAGCTCAAATGTCCCGCTTCCGTAAAACTAACAAACGCAGGGTACTGTCTTTATCCATGCTGTTGCTCATCTCCAGTCGACCTTTGCCAACAACGCCAAGCTGCGCCTCACATATCCGAGTTATCTCAAACTCGAGGAGATGACAGGGGAGGCAGTCGGCAGGCAAGAGCCGGTTGAGCTGGAAGGCGACGTCCCGGAGTCCATGACCTCGTTGACCATTCCCATCGACAACATCCAGTATGGCCAATCTCGTGATATCTGCCTCCGCTATGGCAACCTCGCAGCAGCTATCCAAAAAGAGGGCGGAGCTAATCCGCCCCCCGCCATCACGGCCGTTCTCGAGTACCAGCACTTCAGCCCGACTGTTCACCAAGCCGTCGCCCAGCAAAGCCCTTTCGCTTCTACCCCATCACTCCACCCCGACGAGATCGCCTACCACCTCTCCCGGGCCGCTCTCATCGCCTTTTTCGCAACCTTCTCCCCCCTCAACGTCCAATACGAGCACGAGCCCCTCGGAAGCTTACCCACAAACAGCACCAAACTCCTCCAATCCCTCGTCGACTCCCTACCAGCCTCCCCCAAATTCACCACCACCATAGGCGGCTACGCAGGCTGCCGCTCACTCCTCATCGACATCTGCGGCGCCCCGGTCCCCACCACCAACCCGTCCTCCTGGACAGGCCAAGTCGCGCTGGCGCTGCTCGACCCGACCTTCTACCGGCGCTGGGGGCGGCACTACCTGGCATCACTCGCGGGCGCCCACGCCCGGCAGGTGTGCAACTCGTTCAAGGACGCGGGGCCCCTGCAGTACGGCGTCGACAGCCCCCTCTTCCAGCGCTGCCGCGACCGCCTCGACAAGGCCTTCGACAGCCTGCCGCCCCCCGTGCCGCCTGTCCGTGCCAGCCGGCGGAATGGCCGGAACCAGAACGCGCATACCGTGCGCGCGCCCGTGTCGATGGCGAGGTATAATAATGCGGGGAATGGCTGCTTTGCCGGGTGCTCGCCCGTTTTGCTGGCCGGCGGGAAGGGGCTGGTCAGGATTAACCGGTTGCGGGCGGGGATGGAGGTCGTTACCCCCTGCGGGCCGCGGAAGGTGGCGGCTGTGTTGAGGATGCCCGTGCGGAGGGTCGAGATGTGTCTTGTTGCTGCTGCCGCGGGGCCGTCCGGGAAGGGGAAGAGCCGCTTGCTGGTCACGCCGTGGCACCCCGTGGAGCTGCACCAGGGCGGCAAGTGGGTGTTCCCCAGGGATCACGCTGCGAGGTCGGTCCGGTACACTGGTGCTGTGTACTCGGTGTTGCTGGAGCGGGATGAGGAGCCTGACGCGCACGCTATCTTGGTTGGGGGCGTGTGGGGGGTTACGATGGGCCATGGCTTGACTACGCAGGTGTTGGGTAGGCGGTATGATGTGAGGGTGCACGAGTTCTATGGGGCCTATGATACGGTTAGTAAGGCGCTGGCGAGACTGCCTCAGCGAGCGGGCGGGGTGGCTATGGGAGCGGGCTTGACGAGGGACCCGGTGACTGGGAAGGTCATTGGATTCAGTGCGGTCAAGCCGGAGGAAGTGAAGGCGTTGGGTATGAGACAGCAGGGGCGCGGCGTGTTTGCCTGAACGCCCGGTGGCGTTTCTAATAACGTAGTTTTGGGGGCTGTTGCGTTGGGGCTGCGCAGAGTTGGTTACCTGCTCAATCTCAGTTCACGACGATGGGATATTGGACCAGTCCGCCTTGAGGTTTAATTTAAGAATAAACACGCTCAAAGTGGCAACGTAATCTGTCAAGATCTCTTCTTTCTTTAGATCCCTCGCTGCGAGGCTCACGACTTCAACCCATTTCATGTCTTCACAAGACTGCTTTCCCAGCCGCTTGTTAACTTGTTCTATTCCCAAATGCGGGACAGCGTCCTGCTAACAGTGCTGAGCAAGACTACGCAGTGAGCTAAGTTAGAGTGATGATGGTGGTTATGTGCAAAACAAATGTTTCATCTTGGGTGGATGGCTGCTGAAAATGAGTGGGTGAGAGAACTGAAAAGGGGTGGAAATGGAGAGTGGAACATCACTCAGCAAATGCCACCGGTTTTCGAGCGTCAGGACACGGTCCGAAATACACATTGCTGAGATCTTCCCCAAACGATAACAACTATGTTTGTTTAGTACCAACTCGGCTGCAAGGTAAACCAGCGTGCCTCATATTTTCTACGTTAGCATCAACCCGAGCGCCGGGGACCTGTCAGGACACTCCTCGAACACTGGATGAATGAGCATACAAAAGATTGCCTGTCTTTGTAATTGATATATCAAAATGACAAAAGCGAAATTGGTCACTCCAAACCCCGAGACTCTGAACTCTGCTGCGAGAAATTGAACATTGAACGGCATGTTGAAGGCCCAAGACTTCGCTTGCGGTGCGTAGACGGCAACCGGCAACAGCTGACGGCAGCGGAAGCCCCGCCTTGACTGCGACTCGGATTGTGGCTGCCCCACCATGGCTGATTTTGGCGGATTGGACCCACACACCGCCTTCATAGGGTTTCCAAGCCCTGCCAAAATTTTGGCGAGCTTCCCCAAGCGAGCGACCTCCAAATTGCAACTGCTTCACGACCGGTGATTTATTCGACAACCAGAGGGACCGAGGGCTTGATCCACAACCGGCACAATGGTGAGTATTATGCTTCTCGAGTGATAGCAGATGCGATTGCGCACCATCTTCACGTTTGCGACGTTTTACTGATGCATTTCCGGCACACAGGCGATCAAGCACAACCAGACGATTCCCAACACCCGTGAGCACGACCCGACGGCGACGAGGAGTATTTTTTGCGGGGGACGAGGACGCTGACGCGAAATTACCAGACTTCCGCAAGCAGTGGCAGCGGCGTGTGCGGTGCCACTTCGACCAGGTTCGTGATATCAGGAGGCGCATGACAACCGACATAGACCTCAATTCTGACCTGTGATGGAAAATAGCCCGGCAAGAAGGTCACCCGCCGTTTGGCGCGCCGCTCAAAGGCCGCCGCGGTCGCTCCCCGCCCGGTTGACAAGCTCCGCCCGGTCGTCCGATGCCCGTTAGTTTGCCCCAGAACAACCTGAACATGGAGGACTCCGAATCTAATTGCGACACAGCACCATCAAGTACAACCGCCGGACACGCCTCGGCCGTGGCTTCACGCTGGCTGAGATCAAGGTACGAAGATGTGGTTTTGGGAACGGCATCTAGGGTGGAACTCTAACATCAAAATAGGCTGCCGGCATCCCCAAGCACTATGCCCGCACCATCGGTATCTCGGTCGATGCGCGCCGCCAGAACCTCTCGGAGGAGAGTCTTGCCATCAACGTTGAGCGCCTGAAGGAGTACAAGGCCCGCCTCATCGTCTTCCCCCGCAAGTCCAACAAGCCCAAGAAGGCCGATACCCCCAAGGACCAGCAGACCGCCGAGACCACACAGCACATCCGCGCCTCGTTCGGCGTCGAGCAGCCGATCGCCGCCGGCATCACCGAGATCTCCAAGGGCGACCTGCCCCAGAACGTCGAGGGCGGTGCCTACAGGGCCCTCCGGAACGCGAGGTCGACCGCCCGCCTGGTCGGTGTCCGCGAGAAGCGGGCGAAGGACAAGGCCGAGGAGGAGAAGGCCAAGAAATAGAGGGTTTTCGGACGGGTCGGTGGCGACGGGTAGGACGGTTCCCGGTGTTCGTTTGGCTGGTCTGGTCTGGTCTCGCTTTCTGCTTTTCCTGATAATCCCGGGCGAGGAACATGGATTCCCTCCGCTATGGCCGTGTAGTTTCGGGGACTTGCGTCAGGACAGGGTTCAGAAAGTTTACACGCATCATAGGGATTTGCTAGAGCATCGCAAATGAATGGACAGGAAAAAGCATGACTGATGGCCAAGTAAGCCGTGTCTGGTGTTGGGGTCTAATTGACTTGTTTATGCTATGACCTTTCGATGAGCTGCAATATCTTTGAGGGAAATGTCTGGCTCTGCTCTCAATTATCACGGTCTCGATCCTGAGCCACCAACTCGGCACCCTTGTTGAGGACTGCCTCCAGGGGCCTCCTCAGAGTCGACAGCCCCTCGGGAAAGTGCCTCAGCAGTTCCGCAACCAGCACCATTCCGTTCTCCCGATCCATCTTCGCCACCTGCGCCGGCTGCTGCGCCTGCCCGGGCACACCGAGACCCCCGATTTGCTGGGGTTCCAGCGACAGCTTTTCCACCGTCACCCCCCCGTCCTCTTCTTCCTTCTTCTCACCATCCCCACCCTCAATCACCTCCCCCACAACCCCCGACGCAGCCGTCAACGCAGCCACCAACCCCTCCACCTCAACCACTCCCGACCCGGCAATCGTCTCACCCAGCGCCCGCCACGCCCCCGCCCCCTCGCTGGTCCTGTTCTGACCGCGCGGGTGCAGCACCTCCAGCGCCGCGCGGGCGCCTTGCTCTCCCGCGCGGCTCATTAGTGCCAGGACAAAGATGGCTTCAGAGCGTAGGGCGGGGAAGCGGGTGTTGGTGAGGAGGAGGCGGAGGGAGGGGGTTGTGGTGGTGGTGGCGTGGGCGGTGTGGAAGTGAGTGAGGGTTGTTGGGTTAGTGGTGGTGGTGGTGGTGGTGTTGCTGGGGGTGGTTTTGGTTGTGGTTGTGGATGTGCTGATCGGTTCCGCGAATGCTTGGGTTTGGGTTGGGGTTGCGGGGAACAGCCAGGTCCAGGATGGGTCGAGCAGCTCGGTGGTGGGCTGGGAGTGCAACGCGCGGCTGACGAGGCTGGCTGCGCGGGCGGCTTCGATCTTGATGGGTTCTTCGTCGGCAGAGGCGGCGGTTGAGATGAGGAGGGCGAGGTTGCTGGGGGGTTTGATGTTGTTGCCTGTGGTGTCACTGGTTGGGGTAGGCGTGCAGATGTGGCGGATGTTGGCGGGGCAGTTTGCTAACAGCAGACGGGTGAGGGAGACGGCGGTGAATTGGAGCTGGGGCTGTGTGCGGGTTGAGGTCCAGAGCAGTGGGAGGAGGCCGTGGACGGGCTCGAGAAGGGCAGCACCTAGTGTTGGTTTGTTGGCCTGCGGAATCGCGAGGTTTTTGAGAAAATGGAGGGCCGCGTGGGTGAGCTGGAGGGGCGGTGCCGGGGCTTTGACGCTCTGAGATTGAAGAGTTGGAGGGATGGCACGGGAAAGGATGTCGATTAGAGGTTGTTGGACACGCGGGAGAAGCGCGGTGCTGGACTCGTCAGAGCGGCTGAGGTTTCCGAGGGCAAGGCATGCTGCTGTTTGCAGGTTGGGGAGGGTTGGTGATGCCAACCATTCCACCAGCGTCTGTACAGTTTTACAGTCCAGAGGATAGGCGGCCCGGAAGTCAGGGATATCGGAGATGTCGGGCAAAGATGGTGAGGAAAGCACCTTCGACCTGCTTCAGCTGGCTGGCGGTATCGGGATCCGCATCTGTTGTATCGAAGCGGGTATACAACTGATGAAACGCCAACTGCAGGAGTTCGATGCCACCGTTCTTCACAAACACTGGCTGGAAGTCGCCAAACGTCAGGTAGGCCAAGGATGGGGCGCAGATCTCCATGAAGGTGTCAAGGTCGGCATCATACTTCTCGCTGGTTGCCAGGCTGAGAAGGAGAGTGGGCGTGTTGGGGTTGGCAACCTTGGGTTCAATGTCTGGTTTATGTTAGCCAAGTGGTGTCCCCAGTCTATTCTAGGATTGACCTACCTTGGTTGCTGACCAATTCCAAAATTGTCATGATATGGCTGAGAGAGTTCAGACATGATGACAGCCGGTCGCCGGAGATGAGGCTAATGAGCAGTTTGCTCAGACCAACTTCTGACGCTTGCTCCTGCGCGGGTTCTGCCATCCAGTCAGTTCTGCGAATGAATGCGCCAGTCAAGTAATATCTTACTGTAGTCTACACATATGTTCAGAGCCGCGGCTATCGCGAATGGGAGAAACCCATCTTCCTCCGGGTCCTCGATGATGTTCATGACGAAACTGCGGAGAGCCCCAGAGCTGACAACCCGGGCTCGGTTCTCGTCTATAATTTGTCAGTTCTATCGTCAAACGGCTCCTCCATCCGATAAGCTTCTTACCGCAGTCTGCACAGGCATTACCAATCAGACGGAGAGCCTGCTTGTTCAGGGGGTGTTGTGGCCCCTTTGTAACAGGCACGAGAGAGAGGACGTGTTCCAAGTGTCCAGACTCCCCAAGAAGTGGCCTCCAAGACGCTGGAGGTTAGGAACTAAATTTTAGCCTTACAATAGCCATCTTCATCCATGCCATCAAACTCACCATCTCTGGCTCTGTCGGCAAGTTTCTCAACAACAACAGCTTGGTCGTCTTCCCGCGCCTTCTGAAGTCCAGCAAGTTCTTCCTTCAACTGAGTGGAACGATCATCTTCACCACTCTCCCGGCCGCTAGGGACCGCCGGGGCTCTATCCAGTGACGAACTCATTGTAGATTTGGTAGCAATTAATTAGCCTTGTTATTCTGTTATGTGTTAGTAGTACACAACTCCGTTTCTTCTTCAGCGGGCTGTGGTGTCTTGTTCAGCAAATGCTTGCCGTGGTTTAGCGGGCCGAGGATGTTGTTGTCACACTAATGGTCTTCCCAAGTTATCGACTCAGATTCGACGATGGTTGTTTGTTGAACAGAGGGAGAGGTGGAAGCTGATGTACTTAATTCGCATGTGGTTCAGGCACCCCACTTGGGCATCCCGTTTGGACCGTCCATCCAACCCTCAACTGGCAATCCAGTATCCACAGTTAACCCTGAGCGAAGTTCACACGAAGCCGTCTTAAGCTGAGCCTCCCGCCAACTGTTACGAGAAAACGCAGCACACCTCCGGGAAAAGAAACCGTGAGACACTATGATGCCAGGCCCGTCCACAAGCGCATGGTATTGTCTACATTATAAATGATACACGGGATGAACACAGCCGTAGCCATGCCATGTACAGGGCCATCACCAACCACTCTCCTAGACCCTTCCCTCGATCCATTTCTTTTCGACCGGGGGGCCGTAGTCGCCCGTGCCAAGAACGGGCAAGTCGCGCTTCTCCAGCTCCTTGACAATGAGTTTCCAGCGACCCACCATCTGCTCCTTGTCGATGGGCGTAACTCTCCTGGGGTAGACACGGACGTTGGGCAGGTCCTTGAAGACGGCCTTGGTCTCGATCAGCTCGGCGAGCTTCTTGGGTTTCTCTGGCGCGACGAGCTGCTGCAGGAGGCCCTCGATGGTGTGGGTCATGACCAGTTTGCCATCGGGGATGCGGTGTCCTGTCAATTGCAGAATCCGCTTTGCAGCCTGTGATGTTGTGTGAGTAAGGTAAGCATGCGAAATGGGGGGTGATGAGTCTCACATAGAACTTGACCACCGGATCCCTCAGTTCAGCCTTCTTCCACTCGTTGTTCCAGGTCCCCAGGAAGGTCTTGGCTACTTGGGGAGTGAGTTGCGGCGCCGGCGCTGGTCCCTTCGCTTCAACTTCTGGCACCGCGGCCTCTCCAGACTCCCCAGCCTCCGCGGTCTCGCCTTCCACCTGCCCCATCATCCTCTCCATCCTCTGCTGCTGCTCCAGCATCTGCTGCGGTTCCCTCGCCATAATCACCGCCGACTTCAGCACCGACCACACCCTCGCCCAGTCAGCCTTATCCTTCAGCGTCGCCGCCCCATCCGGGCCGACCACCACCTCCGCCCGCACAATCTTCCCCAGCCGATCCGCACCACCGGCATGCGCAAACAACCGATCAACCGCCTTCCTCTTCTCGGCGCCCGCAAACCGCGCCACCACCAGCGCCTCGACAATCGCCCGCTTGGCCAGCACCTCGAGCACGGCCGGGTCGGAGACGCGCCCGTGGGCGGGGCCGCCGAAGGGCGTCACCACCGACTGCACGAACTGCGCGGCGCCGCCCGCCCCGCCCCAGTGCGCCGGCTCGTCCCACCACCCGCCGAGGCCGCCCACCTCCTCGAGCCCCTCGGCCGTCTCCGCCGGCCGGTAGGCCGGGTCCGTGACCTCGGCGGCCGCCGGGGCCGTCGTGATCAGGCGCGGGTAGACCAGTTGGCTTTGGGGAGCGGGTGCGCTCGTGGTCGGGGGGTAGGCTGCCTCGTAGGGTTCGTATGATTCGGTGGTGGATTGGGTTGGGGGTTCGTTTTGGGACTGGGAGGAGCGGAGGGGGGTCGTGGAGAGGTATCGCCGGGTTTGTGAGTTGTGTACCCTCGAGGTTGGAGGAAGAGTCGAGGTCGAAGCGGGGGGTGCTGCTGTGGGTGCGCGGAGAGCACTGGATGGTGTTGACGAGGGGACAATGCCCGTCGGAAGGGTCGCCCTTAACCTTGGTACACGACGCATGTTTGTATGTAAATCGACAACTCAATTGTCGGCTTGTTGAGGTTGGCGTGCTCTCGTGCCGCGGGCCGCGAGCAAGTGAACTCCCGCCAAAATTTCTGGACAGAGGGCTGCTAGAGAGTTGGGTGGGTCTGCCAGGGGTGAGCCACAGGTTTCGGCAAATGGGAGTGGCTTGCCCGAGCATGCCAGCTGCCCTGGGACGAAAGGTCAAAAACTTTGGCTTGGCATTGGATGATCCAAGAGGTCGACGACCAAGCTCCAACTTTTTGGAGGGGGAAAGCTCGGAAGCTCCCACTCACACCGGCATTGCCACCGTCCCAGACTCTAGCTACTCTAGGGCACCACACTACTGGCCCCGACAGAATACGCCGACAGAACGTAACAATGAAGCCCGCGTTACGGTTATGCGCTGCCCCGCGCAGCGTCTCCGACGCAACGCGGTTCACGGCGACGACGTTGCATGCAAGCTCCAAAAACGCCACCCCACCACCCCGATTCACCCCCTCCAAGGCCGGAGCCGGACGGCCTCCCCCCAAGGGCGGCTCCGGGGGCCCCGCGGGTCCTGGGGGTCCCAGCGGACCCTCGGCAATGTTCGAAACCCCAGAGCAAAAAGTCGCTCGGTTACGGGCGGCACACGAGAGGGCAAAGGCGGCGAAGGTGTCCAAGTTCGACAAGGTGGTCGACGCGAGCAGGAAGGTATTCGACTCGGCGCACAAGGTGACGGTCGCGGGATTGATAGGCTTCACGGGTAAGCAAGCGCCATTGCCCCTCATTCCAAGAAAAACCAGGACCTCTTACTGATCCACCCCCACCAGTGCTGGCGGGCCTTGTGACGGCGTACACGGCGGTGGACATGATCATGTACAACAAGAAGCGCAGCGCCGAGTGGGCCGAGGCGCAGATGAAGCTGGAGGCGGACAGTCTCGAGGCGGCGCGCATCGCCTACATGACGGGCAAGGCGGACGAGGAGCAGATCGCGCTGGTGGAGGAGCAGCTGGAGCGGGAGCGCGTGTCGGGCCGCAAGACGTCTTTCTTCAAGGACATGAGCGTCCTCGGCGCGCCGGAGAGCCCCTCCGCCTCCACCACAACGCCATCGACCCAATCCCAACCACCCCCCTCACCAGACCAACAACCACAACAACAACAACAACAACAACAAGAACAAGACTCATCCCTCTTCTCCTGGCTCACCTCCAACCTCAAACGCGAAGAAGACTCCGACTCCGACTCCGACTCCCCCACCAGCCCCCTCCGCCCCCATGTCCCCGCAATCCCGCCTCGGCTACGAGTCCCTCAGCGACGACGACGGCGCGGCGGGCGGCGCCGTGCGCGACAGCGACCTGGCACGGGCGGTGGAGCGGCGGCAGGCGACGCTGCAGGCCAAGGCGGCGGCGGCGCTGGAGCGGGAGCGCGAGAACCAGCGGCGCGGGGGGTTATTGGATCGGGTGGGTGTTGTGGAGGAGGAGGAGGGGGGGAAGGGGAAGGATGGTGCTGGGGAGGGGGGGGATGGCAAGGGTATTGGGGGGGGTGCGGTTGGGGAGGGGGAGAAGAAGAAGAAGGGGTGGTGGTGGTGAGTGGGCTCCCCACATGGGCTGTGAAGATGGGGTTGGGGTGGGAGGTGTCCGTCTGTTTGGGAGTGGATAAGTTGTTTCCGTCGCGCGGGATGGAGAGCGGGCGTTTTGCAGGGGCCGACTGTATCATAGTGTAGGGGATTTGGATGTGCATTATTCGGCTGGGAATCGGTGCATGTACGCGCACGCACATGGCGAGACATTTGACGCTCACCATGTGCATCAGCACCCATTCGGCTCAGCCAGGTGCGCGTTGTATAAAAGTATAACAGACAGCAAACACGCATTCAAATTGGAACTTTGTTGTGCTGGCATGGTGGGCTGCTCGTCCCTGATCGCTTCCTCCCAATGAACCCATTCCTAACCCATGCGCCGTACCCATCATGAGAAACGACCGATCCTAGCCCATAGGAAACGCCAATAGCCACCGTATCCCAAGCCCATGTTTCCGCTGTCGTCAGCGCTTCCCACGCTAAAATATAAATGAGTGGACGGGGGGGAACCAATTCCCCCATGTGTGATAGTTAAAGATGTCATCCTCGATTACCCTCCCCGCTTTGAACTCCCAATTCCTTTCATCCCATCAACAAGCCACCGCGGAACGGGCCTGTGGGCGTTTCTGAATTCTGAGTGACGCCGGTTCAACCATACTCCAATGTCGGCCGTCATAACCTTCCTAAGAAATGATGATGTGGTTAAAGTGGCCGGGTACCTTGTTTCGGCACCGTTCACAGTCAGTTCGGTACCCTATACTGAATGATCGTGTCATGCCGGGCTGTAACGCGGTCCATGAGTTCACTGTATGTTTCGACCTCGTGTGGCCCTTCTTCGGCGATGGTGTAGCCGCAGGTTCGACATCCATCGCGTTTCCGTTCTGGCCCTCGGCCGCCGGTGTGCCTTCGCGTACGGCCCGTGCTTCCATGGCGGAGCTTGCGCGCGGCGGCAGCCCGGCGACCAGGGGATGCTCGTGCGTCAGGTGGCTCAAGTGGCCATGAGACGGGTATATCTGGTCGAGCGCCATCCTGCCCATGGCATGGCTGTCCTCCGCGCCACATTCGCTAATAGGCGACGGCAGACGCCGGTTCTCGAGCATTGCCCAGTCCGCCACAGCAGGCGTAGCTGTCTCGGCGTGGAATCCTCTGCCGCGACAAGTCCGCCAGGCCGTTATGGGCAAAGGCCGCCGCATTCGGCTCTTCCGGCGGTCGTCGCGAGCATGTCCCCATGCGCAGGGTTGCCGCCTTTCCAGTTGTTACCCCGTACTTGTGCGGCAAAGCTGCAGTGGATCGGTGTCGGTTTGCGACCCGTGACGCTGGGACCGCTAGGGTCCGTTTGCATTGAACCCTGCTCGGAACCTTCGAGGCACGGCTGGTTATGCCCGATCATGGCCTCTGACGTATCCATCATGTCCATGTCGTCATCCATTGCTCCCGCAAACATTCCATCCGATGTGCCGACAGGAACCAATTCGGGCTCATCGGCCCAAGCCTGTTCCTGAATTGGCTCTTGCGGTGTGATAGCCTGAACCTGAGAGGCCATAGCAAAAGTCGGGGTCGTCTGAGGGAAGCTCGGGCGGCTGTTCCATCGTCTCGAGTTCGGAGAAGTCCTAAGTGGGAGTGACTGGAGGCGTTTCTGTAGTAGGTAGCCAGGTTAGTCGCTGGTGGCATGCCCCTTGAAGGGTGCTAGGCGGAACGCGGCGTGTTGACCGCAGCAACCCAGAGTGGTGGAAGCCGGCCATAGTTAAAAGAAGCCCACTTACGCTTCTGTGTTCCGTGAACCCAACCGGGTTACCAGCTGACGCCTCTTCATCCTCCTCCTCTCTGATCCTCTTGCGACGATAATCTGGAAACGGCGTTTCAACGGACATCATGGTGACGGTCAGCGCCGGAACCGGGCCGATCAGTGGGACTGGCCAGCTTGTCTAGTTAAAATGGGTAGTGAATGAATGAGAGGCTATGGAAATATGGAAATGTTCTAAGAAGTCGGGCCAGCGAGAGGCAGCGCAACGAGGCAGACAGGGGAAGAAGACGGGAGACGGCGGCAATGGTTCAGATGGTTGTTGTGGTTCTCCCAGGGAGTTCGGACAGCAGGTGCATCTGAATCAAGGGTGGGGGGGAAGCCGGGGATGTGGAAGGCAGCAGTGGAGTGGGGCTGACGATGGCTGGAATGCCTCGTGGATCGGCGGTTGAATCCAACTTCTTTCGTGAATAATTCGACCTCATTCTTCACCCCCTTCCCTGCTTTCTACTTTTCTCATTCTTATCAGTAAATAAATACGAGAAACCCCATTCGGAAACCGCAAATGGATGTCGGTTACACTGTCTTGAAGACTTTTTCAATTGGTGGCCGCCAGTGCGTCCTTGAAGCAATTTTGAAACCGACCGCCCTCCACCCACAGGGCAACTTCTTTGGCGGGCAGCTTCCCAGCCCGCCGGGCCAAACCTGAACCGCCTGCGACCACGAGACCGCCCACTGCCGCCCCCACCTCCCCACCATTCACTGCGGCCAATTGAGGATCTGTTGCGGGCGCCGGCATTCCGGGCCCACCTTTCCAGACCGCCCGGCCCCGCCCTGCGTGGGCTTAACCCACGCAGTGGCATCACTTCCTGTTGTTAGGTTTACAGTAGTATCATCTTCCAGTCCTGTGTGCTCACACAGGTTATGAGCCCCTGACACTTCCTTTTATTACTGTTGATACTCTTCCTGTTAATTCTCTCAATTGATAGAGATTGGAATTGAGTGAAAAATCGTCGATTGTGTGGAATCTCGTTTTGAAGTCAACGAACCACACCCGACATTCCAATTTATCGACACAAGTGTGCGACATCAATTTATCGACACAAGTGTACGACATCAAAATCAGTCAAATGGCGGAACAACTGCAACAAATGCAGGCGATGATGACTCAAATGCTTGAGGCTCAAAAGAATTATTATGAGAAAAAGCTAGCTGAGAAATCGACAAAGCGACAGAAGACCACGTTTGAGAAAGTTCCAGAGCTCAAGAAAAAGGAGGACTTCTTGACATGGCGTGACAAGTTGCTCACGTCACTGAAGAGCGCAGGGCTGGAAGCCCACATCCTTACCGGCGTGCCGGAACCGGCGGACGACGACGAGAAGCGCCAGTGGCGATACGACCGGATCGACGTTGACAACCTCATCCAGAGCACAATTGCGGATATCAACGTGTGGACCTTGTTGCGAGGACAAGGCTGGAAGGTTACCGACCAGGATCCGAAATCGACATTTGACCATCTGACACAGCACTTCGATAAGTACACCCACAAAGCGACATACGACATTGCACGAGAGTTTTTCAATATCAGGCGTGGCGACTATGACAAGTTCACCACATTTCAGATTCGGCTCAACTATCTGTATCAGCGGATAAATGAGACTGATTACAAGATGCAAGAGTCAGCGGCAACCTTGAACGCCATCCAGGCGATTTCCGACGCCTACCCGGATCTGTATACCAGGTCGATGACGAATCTTCGAAACAACAAGTTGTCGTGGGCGGATTTGATGCTGGAATTCAACGAACTGGCATCCCAGGAGGCGACCCAGCCGGCATTGAGCAACGTCAAATACGGCAAGGACAAGACTAAGAAGGTAGAAGGAGATGCCACATCGTCGTCGTCAAACACTCGGTCGACTTCGATGACCAACAAGAATAACGAGAGACAGAACTCCTGGAAGTCGAAAAACCAGAGGGTTGACTGCAAGGAATGCGACAAGGACATTTACACTGGACAGGCGCATTGCGGAGGCTGTGGCTTCCACTACCCGAAGGCATTAATCTGCTGGTGGTGCAATCCGGAACAGGCCCCGGAAAACTGGCCGAAGAGAGACAGTGCCCTCAAGGCGAAGGCAACGAAAACCTCCTCGTCGACATCGACATCGTTGACTAAATCGTCGTCGGCATCTTCGTCGACAACGGGCCCTCTTCATCAACAGTCTGGTGTGGCGAACCAGTCTCGCCCGATGAATCTCCTGTTTACAAGCAACCATCCGGACATGAACATGATGAACATGGCACCGCATTTTTGGGGAGGCCCGTGGCGCAATTAAGCGCTAAAGTCCAACAGGCCCTCAAGGCATCAGGCGCGTCGACAGAGGCAATTCGGAATGTCGTGATTTACGATACCGGATGCGCGACGCCAGCGTTCAATGACAAGAAGTGGTTCAAGGAATTGGAAACACTCCCAGAGGCGTCATTGGCGATATCCTCAACGGGAGAATTGATAGAGAATTGGCTGGGCGGAACCGTTAGTCTTACGGTTCAACTCTCGGACAGGCAATTATGCGACGATCGAGATTGACGAAGCAGTTTACCAACCATCAGCACCTTGCAATTTACTTGCAGGTCTGAGAATGAAGAATGACGGCGTTCGTTGGGACCAAGACAATGACACGCTGTATCACAAAGGGACAGGAAGCCTCCTGATGGAGTTGTACGATTATCGAGGCGTACCAGCTGTCAGAGATGCACTGCCGACCTCAACCAACAGAGGAAACCAACCGAAACCAGAGATGGCGTCAGTCCCATACCGCAAGATGCACAGAAGGCTAATGCATGCCGGCAAATCAGTTGTTGAAGAAGCATGTCGGCGTGCAGGCATCGAATTGACCGCCAAACAAGATCACTTTTGCGAAGGCTGTACAATGGGAAAGATGACGGACGAACTGGGCAAATCAGCCCCCATCCAAGGCGATAATCCACTTGACTTCATTCGTGTCGACACGGTTACTCATGAAAAACCGGGAGCGTTGGGATATAAATACAGCGTTCACATCATTGACATCGACACGAACTTCCACTGGGTCAAATACACCAGCACAAAGGGTCAGATCTTCGACCTGTTGAAGGACTGGGTGGTCATGGTTCACACCCAGACAGGTCGTTGGGTGAAGATGATCGGCATTGATGGCGGCACCGAATTCGGACAATCGCCTATTCCATTCGTTGACGATAAGTTCAAGAGGTGGGCGAGGGAGAAAGGCATTGTGGTCCTTCAGACCCCTCCACACACGCCGTGGATGAACGGCAAAGTTGAACGCGCGGCGAGGGAGGTTCTGGATAAGACGCGCGCGACGATGATTGCGTATCAGATTCCAGAACACCTCTGGACCTTCGTGATGGAATCAGTCGTTCAAGTCAAAAACGTACTGCCCACGAATGCGAATACGGGCAACAGGTGCCCACAAGAGGCCTTTGCGAAAGGTGTCGGCATGCCAAAGTCGACATGGACGCCACACATCACCCACTTTCGAGCCTACTTTTGCGAGGCGTATTACTACGTCAAACCGAAATACCGGGTCCAATCCGACAAGTTTGCCGCGCGCGCCGAGAAAGGACGTCTGATCGGTTACGCTGACCTGCATGGCAAAATATACTGGATTTGGAATCCGAAGACCGGGAAGATCATTCGCGCCAGCGCAGTCAAGTTCAACGAAGGCCCAGACTTTGTTCCTGACGAAGATGTCGGAACGGATGTCGAATACGAAGCAGTTTTTACCGACACGACAACGCAAGAAGAAGAAGAAGCGGTCGTGGAAAAACAAGACTGGGTGACAATTACCCATCCGGATCAAACAACAACAACAACGATTAGCCTTCAGGGGGGGGATTCCACTGCGACAGAAAATGAACTGCCCGCAATCGAGAACGAACCTCAACAGAGCGACGAAACAACGGAAATGCAGAAAGAAAAACATGTCGCTCAATTACCGACTCCAGAGGCCACTCCAGAACCAACGCTTGATGCGGAGGATCGCATGGAGATTGGGAGAGATCTTCCAGTGCCAATTAACCATCTGTCGCCAGGAATTGGCAATTTGGTGACCGACGAACCCGGAACAGTGGCACCGACTACGTTGTCGACCCGCCCGCGGCGCCAAAAGGCTAAATACGGTACCGGCACAGAGGAAGGTTATTATGCTAAATTGAGCAGGGGTGAATTGCCGGGACAGTCGTTTTATGCGGCGCACCTGGATATCCCTGAACCCGACGAACCAACAATTGGCATGGCGCTTTCAAGTGTGAAGGTCGAGAACGACATTGCGCAATACCTGCAACCCCAAATACCGAAGAACCATCGACAGGCGAAACGCCTTGAGAACTACAAGGATTACTGGCTCAAGGCGATGTTGAAACAAGATGCCAGCTTGCGCGACAAAGAAGTCTACGAATTGATTCCGAAACGCCCAGGCATGACGATTTTGCCGAGCAAATGGGTATTTGACGAAAAAATGAATCCGTCAACGGGAACAACAGATCCACGCGCAAGATGGGTTGTTTGTGGCAATTTCGACAAAGACTCTTGGAATAGTGAAGACGTTTTTGCCGCCGTCGTCAACAGCGTTTCAGTCCGTACATTTCTTGCTGTCGTCGCAGTGCGAGACTTGGAATGCCTGCAATACGACTTCATAACAGCGTTCTTGAACACGCCGATTCCGAAGGGCATCGACTATTACGTTGAGCCCCCAGAAGGTTTGGACATTCCGCCTGACATGGTTTGCAGGTTGAGAAAGGCACTTTACGGCCTGCGGAAAAGTCCACAATACTGGTTCAACACGGTCAAACCTTTACTCGAAGAAAGAGGCTTCAAGGCACTCGAAACAGATGCCTGTTTGTTTCGACACAAACGCTACGACATTCTTCTGGTGCTTTACGTCGACGATCTTTTGATTGCGGCGCCCTCGACCGCCATGATCCACACGGTCCGCGACGAAATTATCAAGCAGTTCGAATTGAAAGAACTCGGCCCGGTGAAACGGTTCCTGGGCTTCGACATCGTCCGCGATCGCAAACAAAAGAAGATCTTCGTATCACAAGAAAGCTACACACGGGCATTACTGGCAAAGAGAGAAATGTCAGACTGCCATCCGACGCCAACACCGTGGCCCAGTAAAATGGAATTGCCGGCGACATGGGAACCAGTGATGAAACGCCAGAAGGCGTATATCAAAGATACCGGCTCCCTCAATTGGCTTGCGTGTGGTACAAGACCCGACATCGCGTATACCGTTTCGAGGCTGGCGGAGGCCAACGCTGGCCCATCACAAGCGCACCTGGACCTACTTAAGCATGTGTTTCGATATCTGAAAGGCACAACGGATCTCGGCATTGAGTTCGGCGGCGACGAAATTAGCTGCGACGACATGCGAATGATGGCGTTTGCGGATGCATCGCTAGCCGACCGACTACCATCACGACAATCGACAGGAGGCCATTCGGTCTTCCTTGCCGGGGCACCAGTACTCTGGAAGTCAAAGAAACAAACCTTCGTCGCATTGAGTACGACGGAAGCCGAATTTACCAACTTGACACCCACCGCATTGTCGACAATGTGGGTGTCGCAGATCTTGAAGGACTGTGGCATTCCACAGAAGATACCGACAGTGATTTTTACGGACAGCAACAACGCGTACAAAACGGTACTTAACCCGATGAACAGAGCGCGCACACGGACGATTGATATCCGCTACAAGTGGATAATTGAGAAGGTTCAGAAAGGAGAGTTGAGTGTCAACCATTTGCCCGGGGCACAGATGCCAGCCGACGGTTTGACAAAGCCGTTATCGAAGGAGAAACACGCGGCATTTGTGGGGATGATGGGCATGAGAGCGAAGAAGATTCCGTGGGCGAAGTAAAACACCACGAAGATATACATGTACTAGATTAAGAAAGATGGCGATGGCTTCATGCCGGGGCGGATGGAGGCCGGTCTGAGGGGGGGTGTTGCGGGCGCCGGCATTCCGGGCCCACCTTTCCAGACCGCCCGGCCCCGCCCTGCGTGGGCTTAACCCACGCAGTGGCATCACTTCCTGTTGTTAGGTTTACAGTAGTATCATCTTCCAGTCCTGTGTGCTCACACAGGATCCCTGCGCACCCTGCAGGACATGGAAATGAGAAGCAAACACTTTTCTCCCACCAGCATGTTGTTGCCCGGTGAGTATCGGCGATCCGGCGAGGGGTTTGAGTTTATTCGCTTTGGTGAAGCTTAAAAAGCACAATCCTCGAACATGGTTTCTATTGAGAGGTTCCCCTCTCCCCTTTTAGGTTGGTGGTTGGACGTTGTCGGCTGGGTCTAGGTAGGGACCCCTGCTGCGTCTGACGTCGCACCACATGGGGAAAATCAAAGCCGGACTCTCAGTGTACACATGCACAGTAGATGTCGCTCAAACCTACGATTAGAGGAACAGCCATTCGGAAGCCCAAGGCCTGCTTATTATTTGACTTGTTTGCTTTAATTTCGTTATTTTTTCTTGTTTTCCTTTCTTATATTTTCTTGATTTCTTACTCCCTTTCAACTCTGGGTTTTTTGGCCACAGGTGTGTCGGCACTCTCGGGTCCCCGGGCCCCCGGGCCCCTCGCCGACAGGACCACCATGCAAGGTCACCCTTCATCCCAAGTTTGTCAGCTCTCAAACGACAGCATCAATTACACTTCATGCCTCGTATGCACCATTCTGGTGACCCCGCATCGTGGGCTCGACCGCCATGAAAAGGCCAAGCCGGTTACGGAACTTGGCCGGCGCCGTCAAAGGAGCCGTTCGAGATGTTCGAATACGCCCCGTGTAATCTGTACAGATTATTTCGTGATATGTAGGTGGTGGCGAATGTGTTAACCAACGACCGATGAAACGCGTCAATGGTTATGGATGGTTAGCTTGACATCGACTTTTAAAGCATTGACGGGAGTGAAGTAACTAGTTGATGATTCCCTAGTTCAACTTGACCTCTATCTTCTCCGTATATAATTACACGGCTTCCTCTTCACAAATGCAAAGCCAACGCCAACTTAAAAGCGAACCCTAGGCAAACCTCAGCCCGGTCATCTCACCGACCGCGCAAGAAACTCATATCCATCCGAAATCGCCGCAATGGCCCCCGCATGCCGGTCATAACGCCGATAGAGATCAAAGAGATGGACCGCCTTGTCCACGATCCTCACCTCCGCCGACACCCCCCGCGCCCGTAGCTCCTCCACCGTCCGCTGCGCCTGCTGCCACGGAATCAAGTCATCATCAACCGGATGTACCAGAAACGTCGGCGTCCTGTAATTCCCAAGCTGCACCTGCGCGAGCGGGCTAATAGCCACCACCTGCTCCGGCTCCGGCCACGGCAGCACCGGCGTCCCCTTGCCCTCCCCCTTCCGCAGCCCATGCACCAGCACCGGCACCGTCTGCGCCCGCCAATTCATATGCAGCGCAATCCTCGACCGCGCATCCCGCCGCGCCATCCACCCACCCGCCGCCTGCGCCGCCACCGGCGGGTTGTACTCCACAATCGGCGCCTCCTCCACCCCCTCCCACACATCAAACTCCCCCTCCTCACCATCCTCCTCCTCCTCCCCAAACGGCAAATTCACCCTTCCCCACCACCCATCCTCATAATCACTCGGACAATAAAACCCCAACACCGCCTCCGGCGCCTGCACCCCCACCCCCGCCGCCGTCCACCCCAAACTCAGCGCCAACATGCCCCCCGTCGACCAGCCCACCGCCACCACGCGGGTCCCGTCCACGCGCACATCGGGCCGGCGCCGCCGCGGGGAGGCCTCGGCGTGCGGCAGCGTGCGGCGCGCCCAGGCCAGCGCGTCGCGCACGTCGGTCATGGGACCCTCGAGGAGCGTCGTTTCTGGGCACAGCCGGTAGTCGATGCTCACGGGCAGGAAGCCGGTGGCGAGGAGGTGTTGGGTTTGGGAGGGGCGGATGTCCCGTCGGGAAAGCATCACGTGCCCGCCGCCGTGGATTGAGGAGCGCTGTTGGAGGGGGGGGGAAAGTGGTTGTGAGTTTGGTGGGAGAGAAACGGGGGGGGGGGGGGGGGCTAGTAGTGGGCCTCACCGACGGGTCGTGGTTTGCTACCGGGTGGGTCTGGTGTTGGTGGGTAGTAGATGTCGGCTTGCAGGGCGAGAGGCCCGGCGTGCTTGAAGATGACGGTTTCTTGCGTTTCGAGGGGGGTGGTGGCGGCGGTGTCGATGTCGGCTACTCCTGGTCCCTCGGGGATCTGAGGGGGGGGAGACGGAAGGGGGTGAGGTCGGGGAGAGGTGGAGGCTACAATCAAGCGGAGGATACTTGCTTCTGCGCTCGCGCCGTCCGACCAGTCGACCCAATCGAAGCCCGACGCTAGGAGGTCCTTCTGCCAGAGTGTTTCTGAGGCTAGCGCGTGGCTACGGCCGTCGTTGAAGAGCCACCAGCCTTCGAGGAGGCCAAACACGAGGTCGAACCAGAAGAGGTTCTGCGTGAGCTCGACCAGGCACAGGAGGCCGCCCTCGCGCAGCGTGCGGCGGATGTGGGTGCAGGAGCGGGTCAGGTCCCGCGTGGCGTGGATGCAGTTCGTGGAGATGACCATGTCGAAACGGCCCAGCAGGTGGGCCGGTGGGTTCTGTTCGATGTCGAGGACGGCGTACTCCATGAACGGGTACTGGGCGAACTTCTTCTTGGCCGCCGCCACTAGCGACGACGAGAGGTCGGTGAAGGTATAGCGCAGCTTATGCCCCAGACCTGACGCCGCGAGATGTTCGAGCAGGTGGCTGGTGGTGCCGCCGGTGCCGGCGCCGAGCTCGAGGATGCGGATCTCGCCGCGGCCGCTGTGGTCTGCCAGGTGCTGGGTGAGCGTCTGCGCGAGGAACCTCGCGAGGAACAGCGTCCCGGCCTTGAACATGGGCGCGTTGGTGTACACATCGCCGAGCAGGCGGCGGGCCTCGGCGTTCCCGAAGAGCAGGGAGATGGGGTCCGCGTCGCCGGAGAGACAGTCTGCCAGCCGGGAGCCCGTCGTGTGCAAGAGGGAGTGCTCCGAGAAATGCTGGGGGAATTGCTGCAGGATCCTGTCGTGCAAGTCCGACGCGGTGGCTTGCGGCGTTGGCCGGCTCGTTCGCCTGCGAGTCCCGGCACCGTCGACGTCGAGGAGACCTGCGTCCTCCAGGATCCTGTAGATCTGCGCCATGACCTTCTCGTGCCTCGGTAGGTGTTTGATGTTGGGCAGGCTATCTCCAGGTTGGAGGGTCCTAAGGTGGCAGCCGAGCCTGGCGAACGCCTCGACTACGTACGCCACCACGAGCTGGGCCTGGTGGGGATACACATCCTCGCGAAAGTGTTGCAGCCCACTCTCTTGCACGACGGTGTCGTACGTATTTCTGTTGCTCGCGAGCCATTCACTGGCCGCGTCCGCCACCCCGACCTCCTCCCTGGCACCTTCACTGCTGCTGCTAGGCTCTTCATTACGGACCACGCCGTTGATCACTGGCGGAGGAGTATCTGAGCCGGCGGGAGTTGGGGCGCTTGTCGACTCATACCCAGACACCAGAGGCTCGAGACGATGGGAGAGCGACTGGACGTCGGTCATCTCCTGGAGATCGCTCAGTGAAATGTCGACGGAAAAGTGCTTCTTGATCTCGCCAGCGAGCTCGGTAATCATCAACGAGTCCACACCGAGGTCTGCCAATTCAGAAGCCGGTTGGATTTCTGCGAGCTCGGTACCCAGGACCTCACTCAGCAGGTTTCTCAAGGCGTCGATGAGGCGAGGCCCTGAAGTGTGGCCAGTCACGGAGCCCTGTGAGGGTGTAGCTTGCGGCGATGTTCCGTTCGGAAGGTCCTGAGGATAAGTAGTTACTTTTACCTGGTCAACTGGCTCCCGCTCAGGTGGCGGCGTCGGCAGGGATCCCGAGGCTCCGTTCAGCTTCGATAAGGCTCTGTACAACGACGACATGGAAACTCGGGTGAACTCGGCGTTCAGTATGGCGAGGACGACGTCTCCAGACACGGGATCCAGGACGAGAATGTCGTTCACGACGGTGTTCTTGCGCTTGGCATCGACATTGGAGTAGACTCTCCAGCTACCGGCGCTTGAAGGCTTGCCGTCGTCGCCACCGGTCGGCCCACGCATGAACGTGTCGCTCCAGAGCACCTCCCCGATTCCAGTGCAGACGAAGACGTCGTCTTCACGGCCGTCTCCGGTCATGCAGTTCACGTGGATGCCCGCAACCTGCAGGAAGTTGTCGATGGCCAAGGGGTTAGACACGCCCAGCGGAGATTGGCGGGCCTCGGGCTTTGGGGAATTTGGCATCACGACGTCGCCCACGACTTCCCCGTTGCCGGCCACGACGTTCCGGACGCCTTGGTAGTGGGGGGCATAGTTGACGATCCGTCCGAAGACTCTGTAGATGATGTCTCCGGAGAGCCGGTTCGCCCCTGGTGACAGTGCGATCTGCTCGTATCTGGAACTGCCCATGAGCCGCCCGAGGAATCGGAAGCGGGAGGCCACAGCGGTGGAGTCTGCCTCGATGAAAGCCGCAGTGCCGAGGGCATGAGTAGTTCGTGGAGACGAAGGCGATGGTAGCGTCGGCCCTGTCAGGGGGGAGGAGAATAAGGAGAAGTTCCACGTCGAGCTACCGTCTCCCTTCCCGGCGGCAGGGATGAGGGACAGATACAATCGGCCGTCGGGTTTTAGCGCAAGGGGCGACATAATGCGCAAGTTCTCGAGGCGGGGCACTTGCGTAACCCCCGTGGCGGGAGAGCTTTGGAAAGCTTTCATGGCGCGGATCACAAGCTCGAAGTACATGGACGCCGGGCACAGGCTCTGTCCCAGGACCGCATGGCCGCTGACGCACAGGATGAAGTCGTCGTGAGACGCGTCGACGGCGAAGAGAGCCTCCCCACCCGCCTTGTGGTGCTGCACCAGACGCACCAACTCCGCCGGGCCGACTTCAGGAGCCAGCTTCTCGACAGAATCCCGCCGCCCAGGCGCCTCGAAGTCGATCCAATGCTTCGACTTGGCGAACTGGTAAGGCGGCAGGTCCACCCAGGGGTACTGGGGCCCGTGGAACGGCCAGAACGTGGCCGTGGACCTGGCCGCCCAGAGGCTGGTCACCGCCCGCGCCAGGCCCGACCAGGGGCTACTACTACCACGGCCGAGGTCCAGCGGAAGGAAGACATGCGATGCGGCCGTCGTCGCCGTGGGGAGGGCGCGGCGTGCCATGGCAACGACAGGCGACGCCGAGCCAGCCTCAAGCCAAACGCACCCGCCGGGGTGGCGCCGGACGATGCGCTCAACGGCGTCGGCGAAGTGGACCGTGTCGCGCGTGTGCGCAGTAACGAGGTTGGCGGCGTCCACAATGGTCTCCCCGGGCCGTCGCCCCAGCCTCTTGGGGACCCGGGAGAGCACGTCTCGACAGGGATGGTCGGCGGCCGCCATGCAATGGACCCTGCCACGGCGCGGAGGCCATCCAGATGGATCTGCCAGCCGCGAGTGGTACGCATGACTATTAGTGAGCCGCGACACGCGAACACCACTCCCACCCCGACACGCCTTCTCCACCGCATCCGCCGCCGCCGTCTCCCCCGCAAACACAAAACTCCTCTCCCCGTTCCGACACGCCAAATCCAGCTCCCCCTTCACCCCCCCCACCAACCTCTCCACCTCCCCCCAATCCCCCTCCGCCGCCACCATGCCACCATTATCTGCGCCCCACAACTCCACAATCAGCCGCGCCCTCCCCGTCACCAGCCGCAACCCCTCCTCCACCCCCAAACACCCGGCCACACACAGCGCCGTCAGCTGCCCAAAGCTGTGCCCGACCATCGCCGCCGGCCCGCACGCCCGCGTCCAGCCACGCCCGCGCGCACGCGTACTGCACCGAGAACAGCGCCGCGTGCAACCCGACCAGGTTGTCCGGCTCGTAGGGCGCGGCGTCGAAGATGCGCGGGAAGAGCGGGAGTAGGCCGAGGGTGCGCAGCGCCGTGTCGCAGTGGCTGAGGTGCGTGTGCAGAGAGGGGGAGTGCGAGACTAGAGCGGGCGAGAGGTGCGCGGTGAGGCCGGATTGGCCGCCGAAGGTGAGGATTATGGGGAGGGGGTCGGTTGGGCGGGAGGGGGAGGATGATGATGGGGTGGTGGTGGTGATGGGGCGGGTGCCCGAGGCGAGGGCGGCGAGGTCTTGGCCGAGGGCGGGGAGCGAGGTGGTGGTCCAGGTTGCAAGGTGTGGGAAGGAGGGGTTGAGCCGCCGCGCGAGGTGGAAGGTGATGTCCTGCAGGGAGGGCTTGGGTTTTGGTGGTGGTGCCGGCGGGCGTGGTGGTCTGCCGGTCGAGGTAGGCCTTGAGCGCGGCGGCGTAGGCGCGCACGCTTCTCGGGGGTCTTGGCGGCTATGGCCACGGGGTACTCGATGGTGTCGGGCGGTCTCTGCTTTGGTGGGGCAGTTCCGCTGATGGCTCGGGACGGTGTTCCTGGAGGAGGATGGCCGCGTTGCTGCCGGCGGCGCGTAGTTGTTGACGAGCGCCCGTGCGCTTTGCTTGGTTGACAGTCTCCCAGGGGCGCCGCTGCGTTGCGATGGCAAGCTTGTCTGGCTTCGAGGGGTGGGATCTTGGTGTTCAGACGGGTGAAGTTGGGCTGCTTGGGGATGACGCCGTGTTGCATCATAAGCAGCGTCTTGATGCACCCCGCCACGCCGGACGCGGCCTCGGTGTGTCCGATTACGTCCTTGACAGACCCGATTGTTAGTTCCTGCTGACGATGGGCTCCCCCGAACGCGCTGCGGATGCTGGCGCACTCGATGGGATCTCCCACAGGGGTACCTGGCCAGTTAAAACACCATGGTCAGCACGGCATGTCAAGTTGAAGGCAGTCATAGCGGCCTTCGGGATTTCTCTTTTTGGTAGGTGAGTACTTACCCGTCCCATGAGCCTCCACATACGTGACTTCCGTAGGCGCCACACCACCACCGGCAAGGGCTTGCGCGTACAGCTCGCTCTGGGCCGCGGAATCTGGAACGGTGATGGGGGTGCAGTTGGAGCCCTGGTTCACTGCGGTACCGAGAATGGTGCCCAAGATGGCGTCCCCGTCGGCCAACGCCTGCGCGAGGGGCTTGAGAACGAGAACTCCGGCGCCTTCGCCGCGGCAATATCCATCTCCCTGGGCATCAAAGGCTCGAGAGGCGCCGGTGGGGCTCAAAAACGAAGCCGCCGCCAGGTTCTGGTAGAGGCTGGGGCTGGTGATCAGGTTGACACCTCCGGCAATGGCGACGGGGCATTCCTTTGTCTGAAGGGCCTATTCGATTGCATTAGTTCATCGTTCAGAAAGCCGTGCTTGACCTTTCTAAGTAGGTAAGGTAAGCCTACCTTGCAAGCGTGATGAATGGCCACGGCCGACGACGAGCACGCGGTATCAAAGGTAACCGACGGCCCGGTCCAACCAAAGTAGTGGCTGACCTTGCCACTGATAAAAGCCCGCAGTGTTCCCGTGGCCGAAAAGGCCGTCGCGTTATCCGAGGCGACGTTGGCCTCGTAGTCGACGGACCCAACCCCCATGTAACAGCCAACCCGCTGCGGGCCCTGTCCGGATGCGTAGCCAGCGGACTCGATGGCCTCGTACGCGACTTGAAGTATCAGCCTCTGCTGGGGATCCATGGATGCGGCCTCGCGGGCGGAGACCTGGAAGAAGCGGTGGTCGAACGCGTCCGGGTCCTGCACGAAGTTCCCCCAGAAGGGACCCTTCGGCTCCCGCCACAGCTCCTCGGCCCGGAAGCGGTTTTGGGGGACAGGCCCGACTGCGTTCCGTCCCGAGATGATCAGCGACCAAAACTCGTCGAGTGATGGGGCCTGGGGATATCGGCACGCCATGCCAATGACCGCGATGGCGTCGCCCCTGACAGGCATTTCGGAGACCGGACGAGGGATTGGCTCGCCGGACCGCGATGTTCCATTGACTAGTACTGAATCACGAGATAGGGCAGACTTCTCGCCTGCCTTACCGGGGGTTAGTGATCGAGGAACCGCTCCGGGGCCCCCGATAGGGGTTATGTTGATGGGGGACCGGTCGCCGAAGGCCGCGACGGCCGCACGGACCGTCTCAAACCAGTCGCACTTCTCGGTAAGGATGCTGTCGATGGCGATGTCGGATAGCGCCCCTTGGTTGATGATTTGGCCAGCGGCAGCAGCAGTCGATCGGAGAGGCAGAACCAGATTTTCGGCCGTTGGGAGCTGGAAAGCCACGTTCTGCTGGCACAACGCCTTCAGCTCTCGCACCAGCACTTCGCGGTTCTGGCTCGCCTCGTGGTATCGACCATATAAACCGACTGGCTGAGCTACCATGCCACCGTCGGCAAGTCGTCGACAAAGCTCGGCCAAGCGGCTCTCGGGGGCGGTGATGGTGACTCGGTCAATATCCGTCACACAAGACATGTAAACCTAAGGGACGACGTCAGTCGGCCAGTTTATTCACTACCTCGCAGAGCTTTCGGGACCAAATTACCTCTGGGAATGACGCGAGCGTCTTTTCTAGGTGCACCTTTTCCGCACTCGAGGTCCAGCGGACCGAATGTGCAGCGTTGAGCCCCAGGGATCCAGGCTGCCGCAATTGTTCGTGTTCCTCACAGTCGATCACTGCTCCGACACAAGCCGCGAGCTTAATGGCAACGCCTACCAGTTCGGCCAGCTCCTCCCTATTTCGCGAGCTGGCCACGGCGGTCGCGGCCAGGAAACCAATGCAGAACCCCTGAACGGGACCCCGGCGACCGAGGCGGAGGTACTCGGCCACCTGGGAAACGACGGTCAGCGGGGCGAGGACTACGTTGTTTGGCGGTTCGCTGGCGGGGAGCTCTCCAGTTTCGAAGAAGTGGGCGAGTTGCTGTAGCTGTTGGGTCTGAGAGGCGCCGAGGTCTCCCGCTCCGAGGCCGGGACAAGCCGTCTGCACCGTTGTCGTCCATTGCGAAGGCAAGGCTCGAACAGCCTTGACGAGGAAGTCGAGTTCTGGATTCCCCAGGATGGTCGTCCGAAGGTCCGTGAGGTGAGATCCAGTAAGGCGTGTCATCTGCGGTCCGAAGAGCAACAGTGTGCCCTCCGTAAACCCACCACTGTCGCCGTTTGTATCCATTGCGTGCATCGTTAAAATGCCGGGGTGTCTTTATGTCGTGTAGTTGAAACACTTATTCGTTTCCAGAGCTTCGGTGAGGCTGCTTAGAAACCTTGGTCGTCAAGTTATGAGGGGGCGAGTGTCTGTTGTTAAAAGACCACCCCTGAGCCTTTGAGAACATGATCACAATCACGACTTTTGTAAAGAGGTTGACCTAATAGACAGCGATTACCTGGACACCCGAATCTTTTTCGTCCTATCTAACATGTTCGCCGTCCCTACCTTGCAGTGGGAAAATACCGGCGACTTCTTTCGACTCCGGCTTGTTTTTTGCAGCCCCGGATTGCCCTTTTCGGACGTCTTCCCCCGTTTTCATGAAGCTTACTGACCGGATAAGAAAATCCGCCGGCAATACGAGCAATGCAAGTAACATAGTAACATATAACGGAAAGTATTTACAAAGCTGGGCCAAGGAGACGTGTCTAAGTCGGATGCAATCTGCTTCCGCTCCTTGCGTCTCGCATTCAGGGTTGGTCGGCGGCCCCTGACGAGGAAATGGCTCTACCTTTGACATCTAGGCGACCCTCCCCCCTTTCTTCGCCCACGCAAACTTTTTCCACACATTTACTCTGGTCCCAGGCTGCCCCTTGACCATTAGTCACTTTCCAACATGCTTGATGGCCACTTGCAGCCCATGACGCCTGTGGCGTTCGCGGGCCTGGGGCTTCTCTTGCTATGCTGGGCGTTCCTACACCAGTCACGGGTATACTACCGTCTCCGCCACTTCCCCGGTCCCTTCGTCGCCCGTTTCACGAACCTACAGCGTGTCTCCTGGGTACAAACCGCACGATCTCATGAGATCCATGCGCAAATGCACAAACGCTATGGCGACTTTGTGCGGATGGGACCGAACATGGTCTCCATTTCCGACCCAAATCTGATTCCGGCCGTGTATCCCATCCGGCCGGGGGTTCCAAAAGTATGGCACACGTAAGAACTGGGTCTTACCGAGTAGCGGGTATGCTGACATCGTGTCGGGTGACCGCCACAGGGCAACTTCTATCGATCTCTCATGCCCTACTCGCGCCAGGGGGCGGCGCTGCCACTCGTCTTCAATACCCGGGACGAGGCCCTCCACAAGAAGATGAAGAAGCCCATCGCGCCGATATTCTCTCTTTCCAATGTGCTCACTTTTGAGAAGTTTGTTGACCAGATCCTCGAGCTGCTGTTCACCCAGCTGGACCAGCGGTTTGCCGGGCGTGAAACCCCATTCGACCTCGGCGACTGGCTGCAGTTCTTCGCGTTCGAAGTTATGGGCACCATGACCTTCTCGCGCCAGTATGGCTTTCTCGAGAAAGGGTGTGACGGTAACGGCCTGCTGGGCGCCATCTGGGATTTCATGCAGACGGCCGCGCCGGTGAGGGCCCTGACCTCCCTCGCTTTTGCTAGAGGTTACTGATAGATGCCACCACCCCGGCCCACCAGATCACTCAAATCCCCTGGTTTGATCTCGTGTGGTACAAGAACCCGCTAGTTGCCGCCCTACGACCGACCACTGGCATGCCCATTCTTAACATAGTCCGAAGCGCTATCGAGTAGCGGCGAGCGAAGTTGGGAACACAATCCGAAACCAGTCGGAGACGAAGGAAACCGAGGCGACTTCCTTTCGCGATTTCTCCAT